TATAGAATCCCCTTAAAGGGTATAGATAAACCCCTAACTTCTTCATTCCCTACCAAGAGCCAGGGGGCCTTTCTTAGACCAGGGGAGCTCCGGAGGCGTTTAGGGTTTAGGGTTTAGGGTTTAGGGTTGGTTGAGGGCTTCGGTACTTTCCGGTAGGGCATCAATCCTCATAGCTTCTACAGGTCCAAGCGTGTGCAGACAGTCTTAGGGTAGCTACATGGTCCCTTAATATGAGCCCTTAAAATGGGGACCCCTTTTATGCCCCTTAGATCTTGCGTGAGACAAAAAACGGGGCAGGCGGCTGCTGAGGGAATGATGGATCCGATCCTTGGCTGCATGGACCCTCACATCTGAAACCTAAGCCCTGGATCCCCTCAAACCGAAAATCTTTAACCTTTCTAGGCCCGGAACCCTACAAATGCGGCTCTCACATCCCTGGCCTGCACCTCCAATGAAAGCTGGAGTTTGGCAGAGCTACTAGATACGCCCTTTCCGTTCGTGAGGAAGCCTCGCCGAAAGCCTAAGCCACAGGCCACAGGGGATTTTACGAAAATAGGGGACCGCTAATAAAGCTTCGCAAATAGTAGGATCCCCTTGATAAGGTACCCTTAATTTCGGGAACTCCCACAGACCTTCTGAATCCCTGGATTCGTGCAAAGGCTCGTGGGCCGTGAGGCGGAGATCGAACGAACGGTGCAGGCCAATTTCCGACCCAAGCAGAGTCAGGGCTTTAGGGTTGCGGCGCTTGACATGGAGAGTGCTAAACCCCAAATCCCCTAAGCCCCTGAACCCCCATCCCCCCCGAAACTCAGCATCCCTTGCAAGCCGTTCTGGGCAGATCCTGGCGCGGCGCCAGAAGAACAACCCCGTCCTCATCGGCGAGCCTGGTGTGGGTAAGACGGCGGGCATCCCCGGTATTGAGCAACAAAGTAAGCCTGAGAATGCGGTGTGTTTGTTACTGTTTGTTGTTTTCTGCTCTTTTTGGGGGGAACCCAACCGGACCCGCCCAAGTGCTTCTTGCTTTACAAGTTCCATGGTGGGGCCCGACCAGGCCCTACCATGATCGCTGGCGCATGAAGCAAGATGTCAGGCATGCAGCCTTGCACAGCTGTATAGATATACATACATATCACATACATACATACATGCATACATACATGCACATATATATTTATGTGTATATATATATATCTATCTATTTCAAGCAATGGATATGTTTGTAAACACAGGCTCTGTTTACAAACACAAGCCATATTTAAAAAACATGCACCGAAACCCAAAGCAGAGACAAAACACTACACTTCAACACACCCTGAGCGCAAGCCCCGAAAACGAGAATACTGTGAGCACATAGTTCCCGTACTCGCAAGTGCTCGAAAAGCTATAAACAGTGGTGTCTAAAACGCAGGCCCCACAGCCTCCTCTTCTGTATAGTTACACACGCATATATATATATATATATATATATATATGTATATATGTATATATGTATATATGTATATATGTATATATATATATGTGTATATATATATATATATATGTATATGGGTACATAACAACGATATGAGCATGCCATGTTCTGTTCTGTCCTGTCAACGCCTGCAAGTTTCGCAAAGTGTTCACATTGGACTCCAACAGTTTTATTCTTAGTTGAAACCGTTGTTAGCATTTCGGAAAACCAGGGACCGGTTTTGATGGGGACGTTTGATCTTAAGACATGGCAGGAGCTAAAGAAAGCACTCATTTGACGGAACGTGATATTCCGACCCTGAGTCTAACCCGAAGCTCCTGCCCAATGTCCATACATGTCCGTACCTTGAGTGAAGCAAATTCTACGCAATCTCCACGTCCACCTTCAACCCCAACTTCCAAAGCCTGGAAGCCCCCCCTCCCCCCCTCAGTAAGGCTCTTGGCATGCTTTGAAGCCATTAAAACTCCCAGGAAGCTGAAGCCGCGGAGTTTTCAGCTCTGAGGCCATTGCGGAGGGCTTGGCGTACAAGATCGCGACCTCCGACGTGCCCGAGATGTTGGTCGGGCCTGGTGCTCAGAGATCGGCTGAGGGCTTTCGGGGTGCTAAGGTTTTTGAGATCTTTCTGTCTGAAGGGTTCTGAGAGTTGGGAGGCTTTCCCTGTTGAATTTGAAAGCTTGTGGTTGGGGATCGCACTGCCGTCTCTCATGGATCTTTCGCGCAAGGCGTCAGACTTGGGGAGATCCATGCTTTGGGTCCTAAGGGCGTGAGGTCTACTCGTGAGACTCAGGAAGAAGATTGTCCAGCTCGACCTGGCAATGCTTCTTGCGGGCACCAAATACAGGGGCGAGTTCGAGGACCTCCGCAAGTTGGGACAGGGCTCAACAACTGGGAATTGATCAGGTGCATTTCAGGCTGTGGGCTTCGCCTGTAAGCGTCAGGTTTCAGCTTCATGGGATCGGGGGCGAGCAGGGGGCTCTTAGCCGTCGTGCGCGTCGTGCAAGGAGCGCCTGAAGAACGTCATCAAGGAGGCTCCGGGCAGCGCTTGAGCCGAATCTTTTGGGAGCGTTCTCGAGGGACGGATGGAAAGTGTAGGGCTGCAGTCCAGGGTTTAGGACGGAAGCTTACCTAAGCAGGACAAGGTACGTCGCCCCTTTTACTGCGTTCAAGTCGTCAGGCGCTGTGACCCTGTACCCTAAACTCAAAACCCTAGACCCTAAACCCCAAACCCCAAACCCTAAACCCCAAACCCCAAACCCTAAACCTCAACCCTAAATCCCAAATCCTAAATCCTAAACCCAGCCCCCTGGCCCCAAGACACACTGCCTGGAGGTCCTGGATTCCGAGAAGAACATCATTCTCATGATCCTTGGGTGCTCTTGAGATTGGTTTTCAAGTTTTAGCAACAGGATTTCCGGTGTACCCGCGAACCACTAGGTACGCCCATGGGACATTTCACATTTTCCCGATTGGGTTGAAGAGGATCATACTCAGGAACATGTTTCAGAGAGTTTTTTAATGGCCATCCGAGGGCAGCATGGCCGCACCACGGAATCTCGAACAGCAGCCCAGGATCGACGAAATCCACACCCTGGTCGGTGCGGGTGGCACGGGCGATGGAGGAGCGGGCGAGGGCGAGCACAGGACTTGCGGTGGAGCTTTCTTTAGCTGTTTGTGGTTGCAGGCTCGGGCGATGTTTTTCAGGAGTGCAGCAGTCAGATGACTCCTGTGTACTTCTACTTGGTCGACCAGGGTTCAGAGCGTAGAGAGTCTGCATGATTGTTGTGACGGTCCCTCCAAGTCCCTGTTTGACTTTCTGTGCATACCAGTTTCAATGACCGAGAGTGCCAACGTAACATGGGCGGAATAGGATGGGTCAGAGTCATATCCTTCATATACGTTCGAGGTCCGACCCAACATCTTCCATGGAGCTGTCAAGGGCTTACGACTTCTCCACTTTCTGATGCTTTGCAGGTGGCGGCGGCGCCATTGATGCGGCGAACATCATGAAACCTGCGCTGTCTCGTGGTGAGCTCCAGGTGCGGTGGGGTAAGAGTAGTATCCTCTTTTGGGGCTGCAAGGCCTAGAGGCCTGGGGATGTAGTTGCTCCACGTCGGGGCAGAGTCTCAGGAGTTGGGATGCGCGGTTTGAGGGTGATGGCTGGATGTGATGTAGTGTGTTGTGCGGGACACGACTGGGTTCGGATCGAGCTCGTAGCAGCGTTGCCGAAGCCCCGGAGCTCTCTGAGCTTGTGGACAGTCCAGCCATCCTGCCTGGAGCCCTTTTCTTGTCTGAGCTTTTTTGCCAAATAGCCCTGTGAATTGGAGGGTTCCAAGGGCTCAACGCGAGTTCGACCCTAAGGGGGCACGAGGCCCCCGCAAGAATCCTGTGCCTGCAGGTGATTGGAGCAACCACAAACGAAGAATATCGGAAGTACGTGGAGAAAGACAAGGCTCCCAAGTGCCCAGTGCGGGGACTTCGGTTTTGCGTGCTTTTCTTCTTCGGGTCTTAGAGGCGTCGAGGCTCAGGGGTTAGGGCCGGTCAGGGGGTTCACCGGTCAGGCGCTTGGTATATATATATATATACATATATATATATATATATGCTACCCCCCCCCCCAGCGACCTACCCTTTTTAGGCCTTTTTAGGCCTTTTTAACAAAAAATAACAAAGAAGGCCCAAAAGTCGCGTAGTTAATCACCGGGTAATGAAGGACAGTTTCTGGGACACCCACCTCACAGACCCCGATAAGCCAGCATTGGAAGAATCTACATTTTGAATCTGAAGCGGACAATGCTGTTTTTAGATGTTTAGATCAGAGTTTTCCTATGCAAATTGTGCGTTTCAAGGGCAATTAATGTTTTGTTGAGCAACTAATTTATTTATACAATTGTGTTTGTACGAGGCAAAGTATTAATCAAATAGTGAAACATTTTTCTTGGTTCTATGCGAATTTAGCTACTAGAATAATTATTAAGCAAAGAGCCCAATTTGACTCAAGTGAATACTATGTAAAGGACCATACTCAACCAAGATACGAAATAAACACCATTCTCAACCAAAATATGGCAAAGTGTGCGTTTAAAGTGCAAATACTCTATTTATACAATTGTGTTTGTACTAGGCAAAGTATGCTCTCTCAAAAGTCCACTGAAATACCTTCTGTTTACATATTCATGAATCGTTTGTATTTTTGAAATAATCATTTTTATGCGAATTTAGCTACTCGAGTAATTATTAAGCAAATATGCCAATTTGACTCAAGTGAATACCATTTAAAGGACCATACTCAACCAAAATACGAAAGAAGCACCATATTCAACCAAAATATGGCAAAGTGTGGTTTAAAGGGCAAATAGTGCTTTGTTGAGCAACTAATGCATTGAAACAGTTGTGTTTATACCAGGCAAAGTATTATTGAAGTACTATCTGCAAAGTCAAATGAAACACCTTATGTTTACATATTCATGAAACAATTTTTTTGAAGTATTCATTCTATGCGAATTTAATTACTAGAGGAATTCTTAAGCAAATAGCCCAATTTGACTCAAGTGAATACTATTTAAAGGAACATACTCAACCAAATACGAAATAAACACTTGCGGAAATGGAAACGGTTCTACCTACATAACAATGAGACAAAGATTGCTGAAGTATTCACTAAAGACCACTTATATACTATGTCTGAAAAGCACAATTTGCATGAGCAAGCTCAAAAATGCACAATAATGGAAATAGAAGCGGTTCTACTTACATAACGATGAAACAAAGATGTCTGAAGTATTCAATAAAGACCACATATATACTATGCTTGAAAAACGCAACTTGCACAATCAGGCTTAAAAAATGCACAAGAATCCTAGAAAAGTACTTAGTGAAGGCCATACACAAGCAAGTTCACAAATACATAAAAACATCCAAAAGCGCAAGCTTTTCAGGAGAATCTCTGGTAAAGTTTGGATTATAGGGTTTTGGGGTATTCCTGGACGAGTAGGAGTCACTTTTTAAGCAAACAATTCTAAGCAATAAATGCTTTTTCTCAAGACAAGTATTGCAAATGCTGCTTCTAGATAATTAATCGCATTTACCAGGCAAATATTATCCATGCGAATTGAGCTACCAGAGCACCAAGTAATGGCTGAATAAGGTCTACTACACTTGAGTACAACCAAAAGATGCACTAAACACTAGCGGCTCTACTTACATATTGACGAAACAAATAGTTCTGAAGCACTAGAAAGACCACTTGTATACTATTTCTGAAAAGCACAATTAGCATAAGCGCACTTAAAAATGCGTAGGTGTTGCCTCGTGACCGTGACCGGGAAGGCGAACCAAAAAGCCAAAATACCAAAACCAAAAAACCAAAAAAACCAAAACCAAAAAAACCAAAAAAACCAAAACCAAAAAAACCAAAAACACCAAAAAAACCAATTTTCCGGGACTCTTGGAGAAGCCTCATAGGGATTTCCTGAGAGTCCCGGAAAATTGGTTTTTTTGGTATTTTTGGTTTTTTGTTTGTTTTGTTTTTTTTGTTTTTTTTGGTTTTGGTTTTTTGGTTTTTTTGGTTTTGGTATTTTTGGTTTTTCTACTGTCCCGTGTATGCGATTTTTTGTTGTATTTTAGTCTACGCCCTAGGAAATACGCTATATTGCACACCGAGTTTGCTTGCAGTGCAGCTGGGTGACTTGAGACAAGGCGAAAAAGGGTAGGTCACTGGGGGGGGGGGGTACCATATATATATATATATGTGAGCTCAGAGCTGTGCCAAGAAGGTTGCTTCGAAGCTGCGGTGCAAGCGGGAAGCGTGAACCTAGCAAACAGCCGCAAACTTCCAAGTGTGACAAGAGGAAGACGATCAGGCTGCGCCATCTTCGCCTGAACCCCATGAGATGTTGCAAACTTGAAGCCTGAGGCAGTCTGCCAGCCCCTCGTCCCTTGAGCCTCCTTAAACCCCGAAACCCCGAAACCCCGAAAAGCCTGGAGCCCCACCCCAAGCTTCTGGTGCCAAAGCTGCTTTGAGCCCGAAGGCTCTTGAGCGCCGCTTCCAGCCCGTGAAGGCTTTGCGGAAGCATCTTAAGAAGAGCTTAGTTGGTATTTGGCATGCGAGCTCGGATTTGGGGGGCTTCGGGGCTTGCTGGCGTTTCGGATGTAGGATGCAGGTCTGAGGGTCTAAGGTTTAGGTATGAAAAAGATTTGCTAGGCTTATGTTGATGTGTGAGCTGGAGACTTTTTAAACACGACGCACGGACGTAGGATGGGGGTTGCCTAAACCTCACCCACCATCTTACGACCGCAAATTAAGCCCGAAAATGTAGGTGGTCCTTGGTTTGGGGTGGTGCAAGGAAGGCTTTGAGGGCTGCTGGAGATTAGCATGGGTGGGAATTGTTGGCCCTGAGGCTCATGTAGCCTCAAGGCTTTGGATGGTCAGGGCGTCGCAGTTGGGGTTTCGGGTTCAGGTTGCCTACGCCACCTGCAGCATGTTCAGCACCGACTCGTCCCCAGCTCCCTCGCGCGCCAGTCCTCTGAAGTTCAGAGCCATGTCAGCTGTCAGCCAGACTTGTTCCCGATGCAACGGTCAGGGCCACCGAGCGGCCCAGTGCACGAAGATGCCGTGCCTTGGGCTCTTCACGGAACGTTTATATGTCTTGGTATACGCTTGTAAGCCTTGCAAGCTTTGTGCAGGGCATTCGTTGCGTGACTTGATCGAGTACTGTCTAATCTTGATCTCGTAGCGTACTCCAGCTGTGAGCTTCTGAGAATCCCAGGTTCTACCGCACCTGTGAGTATTGCAAGGCGGTCGGGCATGCAGCAAAGGCCTGCCCCATTTTGCAGCGCAAGGCTGCGGAGAAGGCTGAAAAGGAGAAGGCAGCACGGATGCAGTCCAGTGACGCGTGGAGCGAGTCCGGAAGCACCACGGCTTCATCCTGGGATTCTTGGACATCCGACAAGGGGTGGTGGAAGCCCCGTAGCTCCAAGAAGACCAAAGGCAAGTGGGCGTGGTCGGAATGGCAGCCGCAGCACTGGGTACTGAGCGAGGGCGAGGAGCGGGAGGCTCCTGGGGCGACAGGGGCTTCAGCGACTTTCTGGGACAAGGTTGCAGTAGGCTCCGGTCAAGCAGGTGAAGTACTGTCATCGCGCCAGACTAGATTTACTAGCACCCGATTCTAAGCCCGACTGGTTCAAAGGCAACGCCGGACACGCCTGCCGAGCTGAAGTGATTTCCCCCCCCCCCCCACACCCACAAGTTCACATCGAGCATGTGGGCTCTAGACTCTAGAGATCAGAGACATCAGAACAGTGCACGGTTGCTCTACTTTTCCTAAGAGCGCCGATGCTGCTCCCATGAACCTCTGCAACAGCGCGTAAATGCATGAAAGGATCTGACTTCGTCCCCGCTCGCCACAGGCCCGAAAGCTGGAGAAGAAGCTTCGGGAGATCGCCGCCCTTGAGCAGCTGGTGGATCAGGGCAGGATGCTGGATGTGCTCCAGCTCGAGAAGGCGACACGAGGGGTTTGGGGAAGTTTTGCTGGAGACCCTAGGAGAGTCTGGCATCTAATGGAATGTACTTCCAAAAGTGTCGGCACAACGAAAGCTCGTAGGTTTTTGGCCATGCAGCAGGTGGATCGCAAGAGCGAGATCGAGAGCCACGAGGTCCTGCGCAAAGTGCGCTTAGGATACAGCCGTGTCGCTCTATCGGCAGTTGCCGAGTAGTCGCTCCCCTTGCGCACGTTGGTGGGTGCATTGGGGGGCAGTGTACAGTGTACAGCCCGCTGCCGCAAATTTTGTGCAATGCAGTTGCTGACTACGCCAACTAGATATTGTTTTGCTTTACATCGATGCCACTCGAGCCGCCTCATGAGATGGCGATAGCAAAATGAGTTGGGCGAGTGCGGGTGGGGGCTCAGCTCGCCGTTGGAGCTTCTGGTATTCAAGTCTGATGAGCAACGGCTCCTACGAGAGCTCAATCAACCTGTGACATCCCAGAGCTACCTTTGAGAATCTTCTTTTGCGGTTTACTAGGCTTGATCCTTGTTGATGACGCGCGGTTTGCATTCTTAAGGCTTAGTTCTACTTTTGAGGGCTGCTGGAGACTAGCATGGGTGGGAATTGTTGTAAGGCTCATGTAGCCTCAAGGCTTTGGATGGTCAGGGCGTCGCAGTTGGCGCAGCCGGGTTTCGGGTTCAGGTTGCCTACGCCACCTGCAGCATGTTCAGCGCCGACTCGTCCCCAGCTCCCTCGCGCGTCCTCTGAAGTTCAGAGCCATGTCAGCTGTCAGCCAGACTTGTTCCCGATGCAACGGTCAGGGCCACCGAGCGGCCCAGTGCACGAAGATGCCGTGCCTTGGGCTCTTCACAGAACGTTTATATGTCTTGGTATACGCTTGTAAGCCTTGTAAGCTTTGTGCAGGGCATTCGTTGCGTGACTTGAACGAGTACTGTATAATCTTGATCTCGTAGCGTACTCCAGCTGTGAGCTTTTGAGAATCCCAGGTTCTACCGCACCTGTGAGTATTGCAAGGTGGTCGGGCATGCAGCAAAGGCCTGCCCCATTTTGCTGCGCAAGGCTGCGGAGAAGGCTGAAAAGGAGAAGGCAGCACGGATGCAGTCCAGTGACGCGTGGAGCGAGTCCGGAAGCACCACGGCTTCATCCTGGGATTCTTGGACATCCGACAAGGGGTGGTGGAAGCCCCGTAGCTCCAAGAAGACCAAAGGCAAGTGGGCGTGGTCGGAATGGCAGCCGCAGCACTGGGTACTGAGCGAGGGCGAGGGCTCCTGGGGCGACAGGGGCTTCAGCGACTTTCTGGGACAAGGTTGCAGTAGGCTCCGGTCAAGGAGGTGAAGTACTGTCATCGCGCCAGACTAGATTTACTAGCACCCGATTCTAAGCCCGACTGGTTCAAAGGCAACGCCGGACACGCCTGCCGAGCTGAAGTGATTTCCCCCCCCCCCCCACACCCACAAGTTCACATCGAGCATGTGGGCTCTAGACTCTAGAGATCAGAGACATCAGAACAGTGCACGGTTGCTCTACTTTTCCTAAGAGCGCCGATGCTGCTCCCATGAACCTCTGCAACAGCGCGTAAATGCATGAAAGGATCTGACTTCGTCCCCGCTCGCCACAGGCCCGAAAGCTGGAGAAGAAGCTTCGGGAGATCGCCGCCCTTGAGCAGCTGGTGGATCAGGGCAGGATGCTGGATGTGCTCCAGCTCGAGAAGGCGACACGAGGGGTTTGGGGAAGTTTTGCTGGAGACCCTAGGAGAGTCTGGCATCTAATGGCATGTACTTCCAAAAGTGTCGGCGCAACGAAAGCTCGTAGGTTTTTGGCCATGCAGCAGGTGGATCGCAAGAGCGAGATCGAGAGCCACGAGGTCCTGCGCAAGGTGCGCTTAGGATACAGCCGTGTCGCTCTATCGGCAGTTGCCGAGTAGTCGCTCCCCTTGCGCACGTTGGTGGGTGCATTGGGGGGCAGTGTACAGTGTACAGCCCGCTGCCGCAAATTTTGTGCAATGCAGTTGCTGACTACGCCAACTAGATATTGTTTTGCTTTACATCGATGCCACTCGAGCCGCCTCATGAGATGGCGATAGCAAAATGAGTTGGGCGAGTGCGGGTGGGGGCTCAGCTCGCCGTTGGAGCTTCTGGTATTCAAGTCTGATGAGCAACGGCTCCTACGAGAGCTCAATCAACCTGTGACATCCCAGAGCTACCTTTGAGAATCTTCTTTTGCGGTTTACTAGGCTTGATCCCTGTTGATGACACGTGGTTTGCATTCCTAAGCTTAGTTCTACTGCCGCCTCCGTTTGCATGCTTAAGGCTTATATAGTTCTACTGCCGCCTCCTTGCCAAGTCCCTTCTACACCTGCCGTGAGCCCACAGAGCATTGAGGAACCCAAATCTTGACCCCTATCGGGAAAAATAGGGACCCCTAACACAGACCCCCAAACACTGGGATTTCCTGATAACAAGGACCATTAAGGACCCCAAGAAGCTACCCCCTCAATTTCGGAAATCACCGAACGTTTCAGGGGCCCTCCGGAACCTGCTCAGCCAGGTGCCTGAGCCCACTGTCGAGGAGACAGCCGCGCAGCCGAGCCTTACCTCTCCTCAAATCGCGGAGGGCTCTTTATGCCGTAGCATAGGGGTCGGAATAATTTCTAAGGGTGTTCCCTCATGGCCCCTTTTATGAACATACTATACTACCCCCCAAAACCCTGTTTTAATTACTAAGGCCCCTACGGTAGTGCTTTGCGCTTTGCGCCCAGGACATGTCTAGAGTCCAAGGCCCAAGGGTCTGCTTCACCTTATATATAGCTGGACATCTGAGAATCAGAAGCCCCCCCAAACCCTTGGATGCGCTGGCATTCATGTGCATCCAAGAGGTTCGTAGAACATGAAGTCGTCGAAGATGAGATACCTTCCAAATATTCGAAGCACAAAGCAAGTGGGTGATACACGGTGATATGTCTTGTTCTGCGGCAAAGCCCCAAGACTTTCACCCTCACGCCTCTTCCGCCAGGTGACCATCCTCAAGGGCCTCGCACGGAAGTACGAGGCGCACCACCGGCTCAGGTGCGCCCCATCGGGGAGCCTAATGGGGGGGGGGGGGTTTGGGAGCTGAGAGGGGCGGGGAGGCATCAGAAACCCGTAGCTTTCGGGTTTAGCCGTTCTGGTTTCCCAGCTAATCAACCATTCTGGTTTCCGGTGTAGGCCTAGTTTCCGATTCTTCCGCTTCCGCTTTCCGATTCAGCTCCGGTGTCCGATTGAGCCATTCTGGTTTCATCTGGTTTCCGAGTCGACCTTTGGGATTTGAGTTCGGAGTTCTTGAAGCTTCCGGTGGTCGGTCGCGAGTCCCGGTTTTAAAAGCATGTTTGACGCAGCTTTTTACGTTTCAGGATTATGGCGATGGGTCTCAGATTGTTCTGGGCGTGGGATGTGAGAAGATCGATGGGCGTTGGGATTGCTTCTGCGGTGCTTGACTTGGGTGCTAGGGTAGAGGCCTCGGCTTCAAGACGTACAGTGAACAACTCAGCACGAAGATGATGGTCGCAAGCGGAACCGAAGGGCGAGGACCAAATCCGGGTCCGTGAGGGCAGGTGTAGCCTTGCTAGAGCACTCGCGCTGAAGTGCATGGGTCAATGATTTTGATGGTTTTCGGGCCCAGGGCAGCTGAAAAGCCAAAGCGCCTCCTGAACAAGAGCCAGTCAGCGTAGAAGACGAAGATACCCGAAGTAAGGACAGTGTTGAAGAGCCAAGCGGGGACCCTCAAGACTGTAAAGCCAAGGAGAGCAGCTGCACTTGAGCTCCTTAACTTGGCAGGTACTCGGAGGAGGCTTTAGAGTCCTGTGTGAAGCTGGCTTCGCAGTACATCCAGGCAGGTGGGTTTCGGCCAGGTTGAGGGGGTGTTTGTGGTGGGGACGGGTGATGTAACCGAGGGTTTTGGCCTCGGCTGGTCGGAGATTGAGCCGTTTGGGACTGGGGTGTATGGCCTGGGATATTCAGAGTTTGCAGACGCGCTGCTTTGTACATTGACTTGTTCGCATTTTGTCACTCGACCTCGGTGTGACGTGGTTCGCTCCTATTTCGGCATGTTTGATGATCCTCGGAATGCAGGCCAAAAGGCTGCGTATCTTCAGGGTGGGGATACTCCGGAAGATTCCATGTAAGAATTGAGCCAAGTTTGGGAGTCTGTTTGAGGGTTCATTGATTCGGACTCCGTGCGTTGAGGCTGGTGAAGCACTCCCTTCCCAACTCGCTCCGAAATCCCAAGCCATGCCAAACATAGACTCTGAATCACTGAACTCTCATCGCCCCCTTAACACTGCCTCGCAGGATCGGTATTTGCCTGACAAGGCCGGAGACTGAGCTGATTTGCAGATTCAGGAACGCCGAGCACAGGTGCTGAGGTCAGACTGGATCGCCGCCAGAAGTCTGTTGCAGCTGTTGCAGAGTTCGTAAGCCTACAAAATGTTCGTGAAATCCCCCGCGCGCAGTTCATACCCTAAACCCTAAACCCTAAACCCTAGACCCTAGACCCTAAACCCTAAACCCCAAACACTAAACTTTCCAGGCCATCGATGTCATGGACGAGGCCGGCGCCCGCGTGCAGCTGCGGCAGAGCCTTGGCAGAACGTGTTGCTCTCGTTCCCCTTCTTTTGGAGAGAAGATCCAAAGATGGATTTGTGTTATCAGGTCCACTTGACATGGGGATACATGGAAACAGGTAAGGGTAGGTGCGAATCGGTCTCGGCTTACTACAGCGGGTCGGCTCAAGACTGGGTTTTTGAGTTTAAGGTTTAAAGCTTAGAGGCTAGGGGTAATTGAGGAGTTCTAGGGCTTAGGGCTTAGGGTGGGCGATTCGATTCCCATCTTCGCGTACGATCTGCTGCGCCCTGCCCCATGAGATTTGCGCCCATCACGGTCTGATTCATACGGTCCGGTGCGCGCTTAGCGGAGTCTCACGAGGGCGTAGTATGTATAAGAGCATCTTAGCGGAAGCTCGAAGGCTACACAAGCGCCTGTAGACGCAAAGACATGTGAAGTCAGCGCGGACCCTAAACCCATCTAAACCCTAAGCCCCGGAGCCAAAAGCGCAAAAGCGCAGCCAGGAAAATAGGTTGGACGGTGCGAGATTTCGAGCCACAGGCACGCCTAGCAAACAGCCGGCCTGAATGCAAGCGCCGCAGCCAAGGAACGCCGACCTCCCCGAGGCAGCTCTCGAGGCACCGGAGTTTTTGTCTAGTCAGAGTATCATAGGTCCATAAGGTCTTAGCTTAATGGTGGTTCTCGACGAGAGCCGAGTGGTCCTTCTTGCTTGCAATCTGGTTGCAGTTGTGCTGAATCCATGGGGACATGCTACTCAAACGAAAGTGAGCACCCGAGCGCAAGGCTATGTACATGCCTTCGATCCCAATCCGGTGCACGATGACATCGCAGCTAGTGGGGCGGGGCCGAATGGCAGGTGGCGGGGGGGGTTGGATCCGTGCTCATCGACACGTAGCTCGTTGCAGTGTGCACGGGGTCAAAACACCAACTTCGAGTGCTCAAGGGGGTGTGCTTACGAAAGCTCCATCCGCATCAGCTCCGAACCTTCAAGTGAGGCGAGAAAAGAGCTTCGAGAGATGGAGGCCAAGAAAGAGGAGGCGGCAGTCGAAATGTGACAGTTCTGCTGCGAATGGAGCATGCCCAATGTGTGCCTGTCTATCTGAAGAAGGCACATAAGTCACGTACCGAGTACTGGGGACTTCTGAATGACATTTCGGATAGGGTGCGATGTAGTAGCCCTGCTCTCTACATCTTGAGAAGCCGGAATGCCAGCAGCGGACCAGGCCGTCAGGGAACAGAACTATGAGGAGGCAGCTAAATGCCGCGCAGAAGAGGCCTTGGGAAAACTGAGATACAAGCGTTTCAACACGACGTAAGTTTCACGTGGTCGCTTCATTGTAAATCCCAATCCCCGGCCTCTAAGATCGTTGCTTCCCTTTCAAAACTTGCGTTGCTGCCAACGTTTGTTCGTCGCGAGGGTCCGTCGTCGGGGTTTTCGGGTCAGGGGTTTAAAGTTGGACACAAGGGATGGGTCGCTGAGTTTATGCCATGTGGACGTTAAGCCGGCACACCTTGTTGTTGAAAGCCTTTGTTTTCCATCGTTTGTAGCAAATGTGCAAATGGTCCACGGCTCGACGCCCGAAAGAAGCGCAATCTTGAACTGCAATCTTCCAAGCCGACCTTCCTGCGCTTTGCAGCAGTTCTTGGAACGCTGTAGGGCACGTCCGGCGTGTGTTCCCTGACTGCAGATCAAGCTGAAGAAAAAGATCAAGCGTTTGGCCGGCGACCTAGCCGACGGGATTTTACCATGCTCACGTTTAGTGTCCTACCCGAATCGCGAGCCCTATATCCTGTAGATCATCCATCATCCTACATCCATGCAGCTCCAACCCAACAGAAACCCTTTGTGCTCTGTGCCTCGGGTTCAGCCTTTCGGGTATGGAGTAGCTTAAGCTTTCTATATGGCTTAGAGGCTCTTGCTGAACCTAGCCGCACATCCCCCTGCTCCCGAACGAAAGCCTAGACACAAACACCAACTGTCTCGTGGCTCAGGCCAAGGAGGCAGAGGAGGCCCCAAAAGAGGCGCGCGCACCAGAATTTCACCCATGTGCTGGTAGCTCACCCACTGCAGTGCTTCGAGTGGCAATCGTGGGCATCCTTCCCACATTCGCAGCAAACAAACATAGCCCAGTGGTGCTCGCTTTCCCAATGATACTTGGCCGCCTCACGAGTGCAGGCTGGAAGTTGACAGAGGGCCAGACTTTTGCTTCCACTTGCTAGCCTCCTTGGGTTTGAGATGTGGGGGTTTGGGCTGTAGCAGCCATTCCTCCCCAGCCACCATATGCCTTTGAGGAGCTGTAGGCACTGCAGGCCTTCAGAAGCCCAACCTGAGCCCTCTTCCTCGGCCAATCCAAGCCCCTCCTGGATCTTCCCGGGCCCCTACAGCCCTATCACCCAGACCTTCTTCCTGAATTTCTTGCAGGAGCCTGTCACTGCAAGTGCAGTTGCTGAGGCTTGGGGGTTCAGTTGGGGATTGATGTGGAAGAGCATTTACTCACTGTTACATGACTCCGGCGCACGCTCGATCCTAAGGGCCGGTGGTACTAAATGCTGACATCAGCGGCAAAAGCAAACAGCAACATCAGCAAAGGCAGGCATCTGCTCTAGCCGGGGTAGTTTGAAGGACAGCTGGTGTCAAAGCTTCGTGCTCCAACAGAATGCTCCAAGTTTCTGATCCTTTGCCATCCGGTCCGGGTGCGTCAGGCGCAAACGGCCGCCAAGCCCCAGGACCTGCGCATGTGGCATACTGGGTTACCCAGCCCTAACCCCGTCTGCGGCCTTCGGGTAGATGTCGGGTTTAGGCCGAACGAGAACGCGGTGCCGCAGTAAACCTCGCACAGATCGAGGTACTGGGCGTGTAAGCCCAAGGGTGCGCTTTGGGTTTCTTTGGTTGGTGGTCTCTTTGAGCAGGGTACTAGTATCTGTTTTGTAGGGGGCTTGAAAGGTTATCTACGGGCTATATTGAGGTATAAGGGTAACAGAGAAAGAGGCTTCTTGTTGAAGGTCAAGCTCCGAAACCTCCTTTCGCTCGCAGCTCTCAACCTACAGACCCGAAGTCATGAGACCCGGATTTGCCACAATAAGGGACCCCGAGAATAGACCCCCAAATAGTATGATCCTCCTTATCATCACAATGAGGTACCCCAAGTATCGTTTACCCCCCAAGTCATGCTCCAACCACCAAAGCCTCGAAAGCCGCGGAGGAGGCCGCCGCACCTGCGGAGGAGGAAGAAGACGACGAGGATTTCCAGGCAGAAATGGGTTTCAAAGTTGCTGGGTTTCCGAAAGTAGCGGTACCCTGTTTGGGGTTCCTTTAAGGGGATTCTATGCCATCTGGGGTATGAAAGGGGTACCCTCCATTTTGGGAATGCCCATTTACTGGGCATACAGTGGTTTGAGTGTAGCGGTTGCGCAAGTCTGGAGGGCATCAGGTAGAATTCCCCCCCTCCCCCCCCCCCCCCCCCCCTCCCCCCCCCTCCCCCCGAAAGTTCCCACGTGAACGCCTCTGCCCTCAGGAGGAGATCCCGCTCGTTTCCGAGGCCGACGTGGCGCAGGCATTTGCCCAAGAGGGGCTCCAAAACCCGAATCCCACGGCTCCTCAGTCCCGCACCCTCGAAAAACCTTTTGCTCTCCCAAAAGTCGTCTTGTTGAGGCTTTTCAGCGTGAGTTGAAAGTTTATAAGGGTTAAGAATCCTGTGTCAGCCCAGGGCTCCTGTGGGCAGCAACGGCCAGTTCGGCCAGTGTTTTGCTGTGATGCCTACAACACCTCCAAAAACCGCAATACAGCTTCTCGAACGAATCACAGAAGCCTGCCGGAGGTGGTTTCCAAGTGGACGGGCGTTCCCGTGGACAAGGCTCGCAAGTAACGTGTACAACGTTTTCTGGCGTTAAGGATTCGAGGTCTCACAGGCAATGACTCGAAGTTGCAGGGACTCAATCTTCATGTACAGATTCAGCTTCGCACCCGGAAGATTGTCTACATACATGAAACATAGTAGCGACTTGAAAGGAGCAGCAGAGCAGTTCAGAAGTTTCTCTGTGCGCTTGAAGCGCCATCTCTGGCCAGCGACCAGACCAATGCCACATTCTTGGTTTTGTTGCTTTTCGAACGGCGTCTGCGAATCATATCCAGGCTGTGTGAACACATCCTCCATAAAAAACGTCGGGACCCCTAAACGCACCGAGAAAGTATAGTTGCCAGAGTCCATGAAGTTCAGGACCGAGTCAAAAGCTCCTGGCCTGAGGTGAGCACCGACGAGAGCGCCAGGTTGGTAGCCCTCGGGGGGGGGGGGGGGGGGGGGGGGGGGGAAATTAGCTGAGGCTCATCTGGCTGCACTTTGCGACTTGCGCAGTAGCCTTGCCACAACGCCCCGCCACATGATTCGAGCGTGACCTCAAAGTCTGCCTTTCTTCGCGCAGGAGACGCTTCATGATCGAGTGATCGGCCAGGAAGAGGCAGTTACAGCCGTGTCCAAGGCGACTGGATGGGACAGGGCAAGTGAGGAAAAGCGGAGGATTCGGGCACAGAGTTTCCCCCCAAACCCTGAACTGAAGGGGCAACCACAAGATTCTCAGGGGGAGGAACCGCATTGTTTAGGGTTGGGGGTTTAGGAAGTTTAGGGCCAATCCCAAGACCCCCTTCTAATCTCAAGCGCCCGAAACCTTGAACCCCAAGCGAGGGGGGAGGGGCGCGATTCCAGGCCGTCCGCAGAGCCCGCTCCGGGTTAAAGAATCCGAATCGGCCCATCGCAGCTCGGCGCAAAGCAGTTTCGGCGCCTGGGGGGGAGTGGCAAGTCTGAACTGAATATTACTGTAGGATGTAATTTTGTATCTAGTGAGTGTAGAGATCGGCGCGTGAAGGAGATCAAGCGGCTCAGTGATCTCGAGTGCTTTCATGGTTCAGGGGCTCTGTGGCTGTGGGGTCGAGGGGGTCCAGGGTTCTCAGGTTCGGGTTTGGGTCAGATGCCCAGGGTTTACTTCGTGATTTTGCCAGAAGCTTCAGCGTTCTGGTTCCTACTTGTACCTCCGGCTCACTACCTCCGGCCCCTGTAGCTCAGAAGGGCCCTGGCTTTCTGATCTTCACTCAGGCTTCGGGGAGTTTCTGCAAGCGTGGTTCACACCATATAGAAAAGACGAGTAGCACCAAGTAGCCGCATCGCACCCTGAATCCCTTGCAAAGCCCGAACTGCAAGGCCTCGTTCATCTTCTGTGGCCCTACCGGTGTGGGCAAGACGGAGCTGTGTAAGGCAGGATTCCGGGACTGAGGGTTTAGGGTTTAGGGTTTGTCATTTAGGGCTTGACACAGGGGATTCGGGGTTAGGGCGCTGCGCAGTTCTCAGATTTGTATATAGTGTTTGGGGGGTTTAGGAGTTGTCCCTTTGGGTCAGCTTGGAGGACAAAGGTACCAGGCCCACTGCGATCAAGATAGCAGCCGTGGGGATTAAAGTGCAATTCAAGAAAACTAGGGAGCATCTACCCGAGCTGGAGAGTGGACAGTTGGGATTGGGAGTCATGTTTCACTATCTGATAGGTTTCGTGCCAAACTTGTCTGTTTCAAAACCCTAGCAACTCCTCACCCCTGAAACCAGAGCCCCTCAAACCTTGGTGCCCCATGCAAGAATGCCTGAGGCTCTGTCTGCGGCATATTTCGGCAAGGAGGATGCCATGATCCGCCTGGACATGAGCGAGCCGCGGCGGGAGCAGCGTTGGGTTGAATTCACGGCTCAAGGGCTTGGGTGCAGCTTAGGCTTTTTGTGGCGTGTTGGCTCCAAAGCACGGGGGTTCTTGGCACAGAACATTCGGCTAAGTTCAAGCTCCGAAGTGCTGTGGGCCACCATCTGCACCGGACACTTTAAGTGTTCAGGCTCCTAAGCAGCACGGGCCAGCAGTCCGCATAAAGTATCAGCCAAGTTTGAAACTGCTACCACTAGCCCGCGTCTGAAACTTTTCGGCCGGGTTCAGGCTTCGCGGTAGTCGTACGGGTCACCAAACCGCATCGCACAGTCGGCCAAGCAAGTTCAGAGCCCAAACTGCATGCGGGCCACCAGCTCCTGAAACTAGTGTTCGGCACTGGCTTCGGAAGCTACTAGCATCCAGTGTTAAGGCCTGAGGGCGGCACGGCCGTCAGATCAGTCTGCGGACAAACTCAAGCTTGACAAGCATGTTCAAGCTACCGGTGTAGACCGCAAAGAGCAAAGACATCAGAGATGAGCACAGCAAGTCGTACCGATAGGCGCAGGAGGGGGGGGTGGTGGAGGGCCCAACCAGGGGGGGGACACCATGGGGCGGCTACGACACGAACGTTCTGCTTTAAACTCTAAACGTAAGAACGTCACAACAGCACTGTTCATTCCTTGAACAAGAAGCAAGTTTATTCCCAAGCTGAACACTGCGAAACCGAAACCCTACATGTAGTATCCTCCTCAAGAATCGGCCTTAGTTTGAGAAGCCTCCCCTTGCATCTAAGGAATTCATGGAGAGGCCGGAGTCCAGAATGCGCAACCGCACTGCAGCTGTTTGACGGGCTTCCGGGTGAACGGTTTGACTTCCTCGAATCCTCCAAGGGGCCTGACTCTACAGCACAGCCAGGATACTGAGCGTCACAAATCTCAATCCCCAGGCCCTCGGAACAATTACTGATAGTATTCCCTTCGGGTCCCTCTATAATTTCTACTACCATAACCCGCAAAAAAATATAGGCCCTCAAGTTCTGGCCACTTTGGAAGGCACACCGTCTCGAAGCTAATTGGCAGCCCGCCCGGCTACGTTGGCTATGACGAGGTGGGGGGGTTTGGGCTTTTGAATTCCTTTGAACGGTGGGTTGATATTGCTGTTATTGGTGAGGGTATATCAGGTTCCTTTCTAATATTGGTGAGTGTGTATGTCTCCTTTTGGGGATACAAGGCATATACACCCTACTTCCTTCGAAGGGAGGGGATGAGGATGCGTGTCAAAGGGGCAACCTCTGGGCACCGCTTCCGCTGATCCTAAGCCCGTCCTCTGCCCTTGAGCCCTTCACCTAAGTGCAGGAGAGCCAACTAACCGACGGCGTGCGGCGCCGCCCGTACAGCCTGGTCCTCTTCGACGAGGTGCCGACAATCCTAGGTTCCGCCCGCCCCCAAACCCTCACTACGCCCTACTTTGGGTTCGTGTTGAACAAACGCCACAGCCCAAGACCTGAGAATCCCAACCACCCTCTATCCCAGATCCTCTTCCAGATTCGGGTTTTGGGTCGATGGGGTTTGGGTTCAGGGTGTCAGGGCTGAGGGCTTGTGGGGTCGGCCCGGCCACGAGCCTGAAGGCCTGGACCGTATGCCATGTGGTTTCCGAGGTACGACTCTAGGTTTCTTTGCGCTAGAGCAGCACTGCAGCCGCGCGACCGCACATCGGATCAGGCTTTGCCGATCACAATCCCTGGACTGCGCCCTGTTCCAATCTCGCAATATCAGGAAGCCCAAACCCACGCTGCGCACGAACGCCGTAGAAAAGCACTCCGACTTCTACAGTACAAGACAGGTCGAAAAGGCGCATCCGGACGTCTTCAACCTGTGCCTGCAGATCCTGGAGGAGAGCTTGGCTTCCTGGGCTCCTTAGGTTTTAGGGTTTAGGGTTTAGGGTTTAGGGTTTAGGGTTTAGGGTTTAGGGCTAGCGCTCGAAGCTCTGCTCTTAGAGTCTTGGGGGCAGCCTGGTGTTTTCTATGTGTGCGTATGTATACACATAATGTCTATGGTAACCGCCATTGATCCAACACTCCCTTGATCCACTGCCGACGCACGCTTCTGGGGTGACCCCGGGCAGGAATTCGCAGCACCCTCATGGGATCTGATTAGTTCAAGTTCTAGCAGTACTAAAACGAGTTACATTCGGTTGAGAAAGAGTCAGTGATTCATCTTCAGTAGCTTGCACTGAGGACATGCGTGGGAGTTTAACTTTTCACCAGTTGGTGATCCTCAGAGCAGGTTCTAGTGTTTTGGGATATTGAAAATAGAGCCAGAAAGCCTCGACAAAACCAAAACACCCAACACTTACACCGTCCTCAGCTCCGTTGCTCCGGATTTTGGCGTCTGGAAGGCTGTTTGCCGAACCAAGTAGAGAGAATCGGAGAGTTCAGGCACCAAGCAGTAATCAGAAGACGCACGTGGATGTTAGTTCATAGAGTCATAGATGTCCATGCATCTTTTGGTGTTCCCATCCACCTTGCACAGCACTATGACAGGCAGGTGAGTAGCGTGTTTGAGTACAAGAAGTACTACGGACAACGGGCTTTGTACATCAAGGATGCCTGCGGAACTCATTCGTTTGACGAGGCTATTGCACGGGAAGGAAGAGAAAGCAGCTCAAGGGATGTATACGCATATCCATGTACATACGTGTATACACACACTGATGTTCATATTCATATTGGCATCAATATTCTTTCAATATTTACATTCAATGCCCCAGACACGCTCAATCCCCCAAACCCGACAGGATGGCCGTCTCACTGACTCCAAAGGCAGGACGGTGTCGTTCAAGAACGTGCCTCGGGCAGCAGAGTTCCCACAAGCTCCAACGCTGACTCGCCTGCGAGAGGTCGTAAATCGTAAGTTGGTTTTGCACAGTCGCTTACACGCTGTTCCAACTTTGATCCCACTAAGCTTTGCTTTGGCCCCCGCACAGAGCCCCCACAACCCGAAACCTGTTTTCCCTCTTCTCCGTTCGCCACTGAGACTCTGATCATCATGACGTCGAACGTCGGTGCCAAGGCAGGTCGCGCTTGGCAAACTTCTGCCGTCTGCACCCTGTGCCGCTATAACCTCCCGCAACTGCAAGCCTTTCGTGTGAGTTGGAGCCGGGATTTCTTGAAGTGCGGAGGCCATCGAGAAGGGCCTGCTGGGTGGGGGCGGCTTAGGGTGCTGCACTCAGGACAGTTTTGTCTTGGCCTTGCATGCTGTCTGTGGTACACTTAACGCACACTTGGCGCCCGCCCCGGCAACCCTTACGTACCTGAAGAGACCTCATGGCAGTCTGTTAGCCGTGATGCTTTGGCTTAGTGAAAACCGCAGTGTGGTCGCATGTAGCACTGTCCGTCATGCATTATGGAAGTCGCATCCCTCGCCCACGACACCGTGAAAAGGTTGCGGGTTTTACAGGAGTCAGAAACCTGCACTGCACATTGCGCAAAGGGCGAGTCGGCTGTGGGCCATGGTTGTTTGGGGGCTGCAAGGATGAAATCTGGTTGCCATCGCTGGGATCTGCAAGGGTCAAGGCTTTGGGCTTTTCCCTGTTAGGATGTTTGGGGTTCTTAGGCCCTTGCTTAAATGCTTAAAGGGTCATCGCCCTTTATCACTGTCTCTACAGAACAGTTTAGAGGTTTCAATTTTTAGAGCCTGAAACCTATACTGCCCCCAAAGCACAGCCTAATGTTCAATGGCAAACCCCTGGTTGCAAGTTGGAAAACACCAACAGCACGCCTTGTACCAAAGCCCTTCAGGTTCTAGGGGTGATACACATGAACCTCGGCTTTATGCGTTGAGGTTCTCCGGGCTTGAAGAAGACGTCGACACCTCCAACTACCAGAGGCCGCTGTTGCAAGACACATCCGCCGGGACTCCAGGTCTTGAGATTCAAAGCTTCAGGTCTTAGGGCACCGGCCACAATGTTGTCTTTCCACTCTCCCTCTCTCCTCTCTCTATCGCGTTCTCTCTCTCTCTCTGTTTCTCTCTTTCTCCCTCTCCCTCTCTCTCCCTCTCTCTCCCTCTCTCTCCCTCTCTCTCCCTCTCTCTCCCTCTCTCTCCCTCTCTCTCCCTCTCTCTCCCTCTCTCTCTCTCTCCTCTCTCTCTCTCTCTCTCTCTCTCTCTCCGTGCTCTGGCGACGCAGTCCACGCACATTACACACACCACACACTCCACTCACTGCGCACACCACACACTCCACACACACCGGAAACATCCCGGCATGACTCCTGAGGCTGAGTATGCTGAGTCAGGCTCCAAACCTGAACCTCAGTTTGGGTCCACCGGCCCCCAACATCATGTCCCGCAACCACGAGAGCTGCTTCGACTTAAGCTTCGACCTCGAAGACTCAGCTTGAGGCTTTACCGTTTTGGGGCTTCCGGCCTTGAAGCCTCAAAACCTGATGTCCCACCAGGTCCTAGGCCTCAGTTGAGTGCTCAAGCGACTCTGGACGCCAGGCTGAAGACCGTCGTGCACGACGAGCTCAAGAACTTCTTCCGACCGGAGCCTCGAAAAAACGAAGGGGTGGAAGGGTTTCTGTGCGTTGAACCTACTTGAAATGATCGTCGTGTCATTCCCGAGATGAACTATGATAAATATTTCTTTTGCCAACAGTGGAGGCCATCCTCCGCGACGCTGCGAGACCCCAACCCCCTAAAAGCCTGCGAGTGTAGGACCTTCGTGTGCAGGGCGTGGAGAGCTTGAAGGGATTTCCCTGCAAGCCCCTGTGTCTCAGTAGCTTTTTTGCCCTCTGGCTTCCTTCCAGGTGTCATTCAAGCGTCTTGTTCTTTGTGGCCTTAACTTGCAACCGAGAAAAGAATCCACTTATCAACCCATTTGCTGCGCTGGCCTGTAGACATGCCCTTCCGCTATCTGAGAAGCCCCAAAACCTCTAGCTCATCCACACTCATGAAAGCAGAGCGGTCCGAATGTCTGTAGCCCCTCCCCGGTACTGCCTCACCCGCATGAGATGCCGAGATGTGGCAATGTTTTCGGAGCCCAAAACCTCGAGAGGTCCCAAATAAAACTTCCGGCCCCCAACTCCCACACCCTCAACAGTGGTTTCATGGCGACCTCTCAGGGCTTTATGGGCTCTGAATCCTCTTATCCGACACAATCTCTCTCCTGTCTGAAGCGTCGCATCCAGGGCCGAGACAGAAGACCAAGAAGCGTACACTTCCGTTTGGATTGGGAAGGGCGTGAGAATGAGTTTGTACCTGGGGAAGCTGTAAGGTTTAGTCTGCTATGGTGCTCGGGTGTGGACTGGTGCTCTGCTTTGATTGGGAATTGGGACTATGTGCAACAAGGGGCCCTAAACCCTAAACCCTAAACCCTAAACCCTAAACCCTAAACCCTAAACCCTGAACCCTGAACCCTGAACCCTGAACCCTGAACCCTGAACCCTGAACCCTGAACCCTGAACCCTGAACCCTGAACCCTGAACCCTGACCCCTAAAATGATTCTACGCAGAGTGAAGGTAGAACGGGCAGCCTTCTCTTTCACCTTAAAACTATCCAAGGAGTTCTTGAACCGACTGGACGAGGCCAGCATTCTTTAGGGTTTAGGGTTTAGGGTTTAGGGTTCAGGGTTTAGGGCTTAGGGTTTAGGGTTTAGGGTGTTTGGCAGCAGCAGCAGTTTGCAGTTAAATGAAGGTTTTGGACAGGGGCTCTGGATGCCTTGACAGGCCTATACCGAATTTTTAACCCAGAGCCCTGACAGATCGGGTTAACACAGTGGGTGCCTTTGCCTTGCCGAGCTTTCAATCCCGAAAGTTGCATGTTTTGAAGGCTCCTTTCAACATCACGAACTGGAATCGGGGCCCTTTCCCCAGGCAAGATAACACTTCAACAGGCTTGACGACTCATTTGTTCCGGAGATCCCCCCCTGGCACGAAGCAGGTTGATGGGCACTGTAGAGTTGGGATCATCGGCGGACTTGCACTTCAGGGAATGCTTCGGGGATACTCGCTGGGATACTCGCGGGTGGGCACTGCACGGACGCTCTCTGGGGTCGGCACGGTGGGGATCGGAAAATTGGGAGGCACGGGCCCAGGCGAGGAGTTCAGGAGGCATCGGCCAGGAGAAGGCTGCGCTTGGAGACCCGGGGAAAGCAAAACGAAGAGAATATTTTGCGGATCTCTGCGAGATGCTCACTTCGGGGATGCTCCTGATTCTTAGGAAAGACGCGGGAAGCCTTAAAGCTCAACAGAAGCAAACATCCCAAATCCAACATCCAAGCAGGGTGGCGCTGGCAGCCGGCTCTGAGCCTTTGAGCCTCTAAGCCTGTAAGCGAAGGATCCCTTTCAAACATCCCGCCGGGTCAGGAGCACCCCAGATGCAGTTTTGTTTTTGATGTTTTTTTCTTCCCAACTTGCAAGTTGGATCAAGGTGGGCTTTTGGGTTTCGCCAGAAGCTCGGAAAGAATTACAAGTCGCCTAGAAAACAAGCACTAGACACATCAGCAGAGCGGCTATGCTCCCTGACAGATCATCGTCTTCAAGTCTCTGAACAAGCAGGAGGCCGGATCTGCTCATGGTCTGCAACTCCTTACAGAAGAGCTCTCCAGATGCCTCACACAAAATGTGCATGCCGCAGTGCCCCAAGATCTGAACCCTCAACCCTAAACCCTAAACCCTAAACCCTAAACCCTAAACCCTAAACCCTAAACGCTAAACCCTGAACCCTGAACCCTAAACATTAAACCCTAAACCCTAAACCCTAAACCCTAAACCCTACACCCTGAACCCTAAACCCTCAATTCGAACGATTTGGGATTTTAAAAAGCCCAAGCTCGATGAGCTGCCAGGTGGCTCAGATAGCTGAGCTGGAATTCAGGACTACAGGGGGCCGCTAGCCGGGGGTTCAGGGTTCAGGGTTTAGGGTTCAGGGTTTAGGGTTTCGGGTTTCGGGTTTGGGCCGACCTGATGTAGAGTGGGTCATGGTCATGGTGTTTCTAGAGGTTTCTGGTAGAAGCCCTTCTTGGCTAAAGTGTCATGCTGAACAGCAGGGCTGCCCAAGTAGCACAATCCGATTTAGGACTCCTGCAATAAGACCCGAAGCCTTAAAACTCATTAGAGGATGGGCGCTTCATGTCATGTCCGTGCTGCTCAGGCTTCTTATGCACCTTGATAAATTTAGTAAAGGGCTTCAACCCATAAGTTCGTATGCAGGATGTTGCACACATTGAAAACTCGTGTTATGTATTCTTCCTGAACTGGGTACGGCACCGTGATTAGGGATCGTTGATGTTGGCAACTGCCTTGCGCAGCTAACATGCATTAACATACTAAAATGCTTGGAATAGACGCTTGAGAAGACCCCTGCGGTGTCTCAGTTCCACGACTTAGAGTTTGTGCTCGATGCACACAGCCGAAAAAGGTATGGAACACAGCTAGATTCCGAGAATGTTCACCGAAGTGGAGTTGAAACCCTGTCCAATGAATAGCTTGTCGACCAGCATGAAATCGTCGACAGGAAAGTCTTCAAGCTGTGTGTTGAGAAGGGCATCAAGCTCTCAATGACCGACCGGTTCAAGAAGAAGGCCGGCGCATTCCCGGTGCATTGTGCTTGAGTGCCGTGGGGGGAATTCAGGAAAAGGCATGAGTGAAGCACCCATTTTGCATTCTTGGTTCAATTTTTGAGAAGACCCAGACTGGGGAAGTCCACATCAGCGGGTTCTCTTGGGACCTCTACATCGGTCGCTGCGAGCATCGCTGTATGCTAAGGTCTTGGGCCCATTCGGGCCTTTTTTGGGAAATTGAGGGGCACGAGGGGCCAGCAAAGCCGCAGCCTCCATAAACCTTAGCCTGCAATGAAGAGTGTCCCGACACGAGGGCTCGATACATTTGTACACCACGACTCCACGTCCTCTAAGCACTCCTCTGACAGTGCGCCAGGTGGTGGACGAGGGCTTCAACCCAGTCTACGGTGCCCGTCCCCTGAGACGAGCCATCACCAGACTCTTGGAGGATGCCTAAACTGGGGACTTCGGACTGTTGGGCTCGGGGGTTTTGTTGGATCCGGGCCGGGAAGGGGTTTGGGGGAGGGGGCTTGAGAGGATTGAAGTTCAGAAGTGGAGGCTTCATTTCGTGACGAATTTCCATACTAATTGCATGACTTCTGTGCAGTCCTCCTACCGCGTTGATGCGTTCAGGCTCATAGGTTTAGGATGCAATTTGAGGGGTCCTCTCAGGGCAGTTCTGAAGCCTCCTGCACTGCACCACCCTACGCCAGAAGCCAAAGCCACATCAGTTCCTTATGTCCCGTTCGCAGGACACGCTTGCGGAGTCCTTTCTGGAGATGTGTTGGCCTCATCGGGGCTTAGGGTCCGCGATTTCATGACCCCGAAACCGGAGCCAGCGCCTGCAAAGTGCGCACGCTTTAGCTTTTGGAGTCTGGGCTCGGAGGTTCAACCTCCCGGCTTCTGACACGCCGCCATGGCTCACCTCACAGCTCCAAACCCTCAGGTTGAAGGTGCCAGCTAAGGATTCATGCGCCAGCGAAGCTGCTAAAGCCAAATTACGATCCAGAGTGCCGTTAGGGTTGCGATTTGACTTGAAAAACAGACAAATGCCTACCAGCATCCGAGTATGTAGCCCTCAAACCCTGGCCGCCACCTAGCTTCAGCCAGTAAGTCCGCAATTCCCGAAACCTGCTCCTGATGGCGCTGCGGGCGGCGCTGCTGCTGGCTGCCTTTGCCCATGCAAACGAGGAAAGCCTGAAGTTCGGCAGGGGGATGTCCAAAGTACCTCCTCCGGCCGTGACCCCCCACAAACAAAACACCACGAAACATCACGAGACCGCGTACACCCAACTCCATCCTAGTCCTCAAGGCCAAAAGTTTACCCGAGCCGTAAACTCTAAGTTCTTGGTAGCCCTCAAGGGTACAGACTACGGGGCTTGGTTGATGTTTGTCTTGTACACGGACGGTCAGGAATCAGAGACGGAATCACTTTTGCAGCAGCCGTGAAGATAGATGATTGCCGCCTCACCGAATGCCCCCAACCACCGATGGTTCTCTCAAAGGGGTAGACGGTGATGCGGTTATTGCTCTTATCCGGGTGCACGTAGACATAAAAGTTGGAGGCTATCTCATGCAATGAGACTTTTTGGAGCATGCGACTCCTGGAGGATCAAAAGCAAATAAGCGTTTCCTCTCATGGTACCGCGACGACCACCAGAGTCATGATGCCCCTGAAGTGCCAAAGTCTCAAAGTAGATCGCTAGACTCTTGAACTGAACAAACCCCACGGGGCCAGCGGACCAGTATTGTGTCCCGTAAGCAGAGTTCTGAAAGTCTTGGTGTTTTGCAGGAGCCGGTGCAAACACCCTGGCAGCAGAGGCTGGTGCGCCAGGCCTGGGTGTGGATTTAGGAACTGCATGTTGTTGATTCTGCATGCTTCCCGATCCTCTCTCTCTCTCTCTCTCTCTCTCACTCTCCTTCTGTCTGGGTTCTCAGCACGTTGGCTGGCCGTCTGCCGTGGCTCGACCCATGTAGCCTACCGCTGAGTAGGCGGCATTCAGGTGTGTGAATTGCCAAATGGAAGTTGCGCACGCGCGCGCGCAAAACGCATGGTGGACAAGTGGACACATTTTATACGTGGCTTAGTTTTTTGCGGAGTTTATGGCGAATGCCGGTCATTTGAGGTTTCTTTGCTCCTGTATGGCGCCCGATATGGTAGAATCCTAATGCTTAGGAACACGCTTGGTGGAGACAGAATGTCCATGGCCCCCAAAGATCAGAAACAGAAAGCCCAAAGCGGGGAAACTGAAGTGAAGTAGTGGCACAGTGTGGCACAAAAAAAACCCCCCAAAAAAAACTTTCTCCTGCCCTTGCAATTAAGCTTTGGAGTAGCCAGAAAGTCGGGGGATCAGGTACATGCCACTGCCCGCCAAGCCTCTGCAGCGGCGGAAGAAGCGCTTCACCGTCGCTTAGACAGCTACCCGGCCGTTTCGTTGGGACATTTTTGGATGCTCTTCACAGGCTCTTCAGGGTGCAGGATTTGGGGAAGTCACGGGCTGTTTCAAGTACATGTTGAGTTGTTTAGTTCGCCCCGATACGTGAGTCATGAGCGATGTTGAGGTGACATGCAGTTGCCAGCGGGCTCACGGTCGTTCTCGCGAACCCCGAGCAGATCCCCCGAAATCCAAAGCTTTCCAAGACTCGAATCTGCGAGATCGGCCCAAGCCCTAGCGTTCCCCCACAACCCTAAAACCCTGAACCCTCAACCCTAAACCCTAAGCCCTCTTGAGGTCCTGACATCCGCCAAGCACTGGAGAAGTGCTGTCCGTCCGTACCCGGGAGCAACTCTTAGGGTTTGGTGGTGCTTGGCCTTCAGGGACTGCGGGGCTTCCAGACTTTGGCCTCTGGTTGAGGGTTGCAGAACCAGCAACCCTGCCTCTAGCTTCCACGACCCAATTGCAGACCTAGCAGTCTTCTAGAGCTCTTGAGTCCCACCCCCAAAAAGTCTAAGACTGAGTATGGTCCAAGCTTTGAAAGCTTTCGGCCCAAGAAGCCCGCCAGAGCTCTCCCTACCCTTCGCGCTGGTCTAGCAGAGCCAGAAAGCCCTCCATTGTCCCGGAGATCCGCCAAAACGCGAAGGCAGCGTCGCTCCCGGCGCCGGCGCTGGCGGAGCGCCTGAGGGCCGAGGTGCCTCGAAAGCTAAGGGCGAGGCTTGGGGTTTTCAGGGTTTCGCGCCTTGTGCTGGTCAGAGTTGGGTCCAGAATCCAGGCTTCACTACATATAATACCGGCTGGAGCACGAAACAGTTTAAGACCACTTCGGCGCGGAGCACGGTCCAAGGCCCAAGAGCAAAACGACCCTTTTGCTATTGACGAGGATGCGCCCAGGATCAAAGCAGGAACATCATGTCGAACACCGCGAAATGTGGATCCTCCTGGAACGGACCTGCGAGGCCCGAGAGCCAAAAAAAGTACGTCCCCGCCACGCCTGACCGCGGCACGGAGCGGAGGGAAGCCTCGGGGAAGTGCTCATAAGACAGAGGCACGGATTTCAGCTTTGATCCCAAACGATCAAGCGAGCGCCGCTCTCCTGATCGTTAGAACACGAGCATTGGAAGAAAGGAGCTGAGCCAAACCTTTAAAGGACAACTTCGGCATTTTTGTGCAGCGGGTGGAGGGACAGTGCGAGAGAGACGGAGAGGGACGACAAGGAGGGAGGTAGTCAGGGGGAAGTGAGAAGTTGTTTTCTGGCCGATTTTGTTCACAATGTTGCCGGTTATTTGTAGAGCTCGGGGTTTGAGGCCTTCGTTGTGTTATGTCAGCCGGAACTACGTGAGATTCGGAAGCTTTTCATTTTTCCATTGGCTTTGAACTTCGGGATGGACGTGAGAGTTTTGGTTTTTGTTGGGGGGGTTCCGGGTCCGTTTTGGCTGCTAAGGGTTGCTTGGAACTTACAATCAAAGCCTCGTGTCGTTAGGTCCTAGCCGTCCTAGCCCCTACAAGTCTGCATACAGCACGGTGTAGTTCCTTGGCTTGGGCGTAACGCTGGCAAACAAACTCTGAAGCTTAACAGCCCTCAATGCCCGAACCTCAACCCTACGGCCAGGTGCGCGCTGCCGAGGTGGTCTCTGGATTCAGCACGGAGGTGTATTGCTCAGGCATTCGGGCCATTCCAAGGAGCTCTCCCCGCCCTGATCTGGGTTTTGCAAAGCGCCGTGAGCATGTGACAACCCATATCGGGGCAGTCTGGCAGACCCAGGTGAATGCCTCATGGTTTTCCTTCTCGCTTGATGAGGCAGAACGCGTCCCTTACTACGAGATACTTGCACGGCTTTGGTAGGGTTTAGATTTAGACAGTTTTGGACTTGCGGATAATGATGTCCAGGTTTTTTTGTTTAAATGTGTGGCTCGCCTGTTTCGAGAAGGTGTGGCTCGGGGCCCCTGGTTCCTCGTGTTTTTTGCCGGGTGAGATGTTGGGGATCGATCTGTGAACCTACCTCAGCGGGCCCCTTGAACATCTTCAAAAGATTCCGAACTTCAGACTCCTGGACGCCTGGGAAGCTACCCAGGAATCTTTGGGAGGTTTGGGTGCGGAATCGCGCCGAGATATCCAACTACAGCTTTGGGCTGGACTGGGTCGAGTTTCTCGGCTGAAGTTTAGACTTTCGGGTTAAGAGCACGGTTTTTGTTTAGCCCGCTTGTGGTTCAGCTTAACTTGGCACGTCGATCGGTTTAGCGTCTGCAGGAGTTTGGCTTTTCAGTTTGTTGTCGAAGAATTGGATACTGGTTCTCCAGGAGTTTCGGGTGTCCTTCTGGAAGATGTCGGATGCAGTTTCCGGAGACACCTCCCTCGATTTTTCTTCCCAAGAGGGATGCTTAGTCTTTTGGGTAGTTCTGAGTTTGGGCACTCGATTCTTTCTTTGCTACAGCCTCGGTTTAGGAAACCGTGCAAATCTTGCATCCAAGTTGCAAAGCCGCTGGACCCCCAAAGTTGGATGAATGCTTAAAATGACCAGCGACACTTCGCCGAGTAAACGCAGGGTGGAGTACCTTGGGTTCAAGCCTTTCGAAGTCCACGCAATGCCCAGGACCCGCACTGGTATGCCTAAACGCGTGTTTGCCAGTGCAGACATTCAGGTCGTGTGTCTTCTGGCAGAGGAACCCCAAGTCCCAAACCGTTCCGCACCCCAAAACACCTGAATACTTTCAATCCCCAAGCCCTGCACGCCTACATCAATCCCTAAACCTTCATTGCGTTCATCCCACATACGAAACGGCCAGTCAAGCTTGAGGGTTTAGATCAGCTTACAATTTCTGAAGCGGTCATTCGAGTCAGAACAGCGTTACGGCCGAAGGCGTCCAAGTCAGTTTCAGCGTCGCTTTTTAGAAGATCTTCAGCCAAATCGAAGCGCGGCTCGAAAGTTCTCTGAATCCTTGGCTCCAGCCAAAGCACACGAGCACCACCGGGTCTTTGGTTGGGCGACATGTGGTAGAGCGTTTCATGGCTGGCCTTTAGGGTGCAGGGAAGCTTGAAATTCCTTTCAAAAACAATTCCTGCAAAGCCCAACCCTGTGCAAATCTGAGACCGCCAAGCCCTTCACAGGACAATGGCGGAAGCCCAAGAGCGAGCGCCCTATTTCGCGCTGAACGCGCTGCGAATGGATGCCGGGAGCCCACTGTACCCTCGAAGGATTTAGAGGCGTATTTGGAGGGCTCAGGCTTTCAGACATACAAGCTGAAGAGGGCGTCGGGGTTCAGGGTTCAGTGGGGCTGGGCTGTCCTCTTTATGTACTGAAGCACTGCAGCCCAGACAGGTGTGTTGAAGCAACAATAGGCTGATGTGGCATCGCCTAGTTTTAGATGTGCAATTGTTGCTTAACATTCCAAACCCCATCATGCCAGCGTTGTATTTGCAAATGGGGACCCCCTCCGAACCCACCCACCCCTCCCCCCCCCCCTCCTGCTTGAAAGGCATATGAATCCTGTCTCCCCCCCGTTTGAAGCCGTGCAAGCTTGCTTCCAAAAACATATGAGTCCTTTCCAAGCCCATCATGCGAGCATTGTGTTTGCAAATCGAAATCCAAACAAAAGTCAGAAGAATTCGCTGAGACCAGGACTCTTATCCAAGTCAATCAGAATCCTATGAAGTTCGTAGGAATCTTATTGAAATGCAGACGCAAAATCACCAATAATTCGACGAGAATTAAGAGGATTCTGACCAAAAATAGGAAGAATCCTATGAAAGTTAGAGGAACAGAAAAACACCCCCTCCCCCCCCCCCCCCCCTCCCAAAAACAGCTCCGCCCCTCATGCTGCAGGTATGGCGATGTTACACTCGTTCTTCGACCGAGCGTGGCTCATGCCGTCTCCATCATATCCGGATTCGACACTGGACTCATTGCATGCGGGCTGAGTGAGAGACAGTTCGGACTCTAGCAGCTTAAGTCCCAAGGCCGCTGAGGGCTTAATGTAAAGGGTCCTGATAAACTCAACCTTAAAGTCGCTCAACTTGCTGCTTGCCGCAGGAAGCTGGACCGGCATGTGCAATAAGTCCTTCACGCCGCCAGCAGGAGGTGCTTCTGGGGCAAAAGGGCTTTGTCCGAAAAACCAGAATTGCAAATTTCTGAGGCCCTTAAATTAAAGGGGCTTCAGCTTGGAATCCCCACAAGCCATCGGCAGGGTCTTGTCGCAGTCGGGCTTTGCCTGGATATCTACATGGTAGGCTGTCACAGGATTTTTGAGCAAGAAGAAAAGTTTCTAGTCAAGCTGGCAACTAAATTTGAATGCGAGTGGCACATGCTGTGCGTCGCATTTCGCAAAGCCACCTAAAGCCAGATTTTCGTTTGGTCTCCCAACAGATGCACATGCAATTGCAGCTGCGCATTGCAAGACTTCGATCTTCCAACTTCTCCAAGATGGTGCAAAGTACGTAGCGGGAGAACAGAGAAACACCATACTCCCAAGTCGCTCTGGCATCTTGAAGCTCTTAGCTACGCCCCACAACACTAGCCCTGAACACACCAAGTACCCCTAAACACTAAACTTACTAAACCCTAAACCCTGAGCTCTAAACCTTGAGAAAGGCTTCGACCATGACTGCTCGGCGTATCCCGGGCACGCCGGCCTCGGGAGCTTCGAGGCCCCTCTGGCATGTCATCGCTCACTTGAGAATAGTGAACTCCAAAACCGTTTTAGGGTTAGCGGCTAGATTTTCCGGGAGGTGTGTCGATGCGATATGGGCCTAAAGGCATTTCCTCTGCAAAAGCGAAGAAGTGCTCCTTATCACATTGTTCAAGGCGGGCCGCTTCAGAAATTGCAGAAATTTCCCGGTTCGGTCGGCCCGAGCAGGTAAAGACTGACGACCACAGCAAAAGAAGACCAAAAACCCTGCGGCAACAGCATGCCTTCCTCAAGTTCAGGCTTTTGATCACTTGTTCTTGATCAACGAGCAGTACTGGCACAACGCGCACCTTCGTGAACATAGGGGTCGGGATGATTGCTCCTAGTATTCCCTTATAGTCCCCATAGAATTATACTAGAATAGCCCCGAAGCCCTATTCTAGTTTCTAAGGCCCCTATATTATCCAGACGACAGGAACCCTGAGAGGTTCGTATTTCATGCGAGAGGCTAGTGCCGTTGGCCCCTTGACCTTGCCCTCACCTTGCTGATTCATAACCTTTCTATGCTCCAAGAAAGATTGCGGAATAGAATGTCAGTTCTGCAACCTAGAGCATCATGAGCACCGAACCACAGTTTCCGAGGAAGCGTGGGTTTTTTCCTGGGGCGTAGCGTTTTTGAGTCTTGAGTCTAACGTCAGCTGCAGTTCTTTTCCCTTCCAGCAAGCCTGCGCAAGTCCTCCAATCAAGTTAATGTTGGCCAGGTGACCCTGAGTTCTTGGGATGTCAGCTCAAAAAGCCTCACTTGCTTGAGGATCTTGGAGGCCCACAAGAGACACCCAAACAGTAGGATCACCTAGAAGTAAGGACCCCAGTAAGGTACTTCATATCCGAAACCCCCGCAGCTTGCCATTGAAACGCCCGAAAGGCACACACTGGAGCGACTCCTGGTACGTGCCCTCACCCCGGACTCAGCGCTGACGGGTCCCGATTTCGTCCACTACTTCGAGGTCGGGGGGGCCCCCGATGGCAAGCTTTGGGATGCGTACTGTGCTGCTCTTCTTCTGCTTCTTCTTCTTCTTCTTCTTATTGTGGACTTGGGATCTTCGGGGCTTGAGCCTTAAACACTCTGCGAATCAGATCGCGAGACCACTGCGGCTCAGATACACGACAGCACGAAGCAGATCAGAGCCCACTCACGAATCAGATCAGACAGAACCCAGGAGAAAAGTTTTAGCATCCAAGGTTCAGGCGTCCAAGGTTCAGGCTTCAGGCTTCAGGCTTCAGGGCTTAGGGTTTCTGCAGCGGAAGGCTTAGGGTTTAGGGTTGGGCCTTGGGGTGTAGGGGTTAGGGTTGAGGGTTTAGGGTTTGGGTTCAGGGTTTGTGGGGGAGTGGTTTGAGGTTGAGGGTTAAGTGTTTCCAAGCCCTCATATGGGGAAAGGCTTAGTGGCCAACCCCAAGACAATCTTCCTGAATACCTTGGCCTTAGAGCTCCCTGCCTCAACGGAAACCGGAGTACAACAAGTACAGACGGCATAAACCCGCATGTCTCGCTGAATACCTTCAAGCCTTGTGAGCTGGGCCGAACCGTGGCGTGAGTCGCATCCCCCGCGATCCGACGCGTTATGCATCCAAAGAAGCCTTTCTGCGACCTGTTGGCGCGCTTGTGATCCAGACGCATGCGATCTGCTTCTCGGACCACGCGATAATTAACCCAGACCGCGAAGATACCGCAATGAAGCTGTTACAAAGTGAGTCCATGTCACCTTGCCATCCATTGGTCCGGCTCTGTGGCGGTCGCTAACTTTGCTCTTAACCTCGAGTTTTTCCAGGTCTTGCCTGCAGCGCGACTGAAGTTCCCCGACCATATCAAGCACCTCAGCGCGGATGGCTTGTGTGTGTTACGGGTGTGAGGGTGGTGCGTTGGATTTGCTATCTGAGGTTTACGTCTAGCAGGCGTGAGTCTTTGAAACTCCGTGTACCAGGCTAGGCAGATGAGTATTTTGCTTGCTCGGGAACAATGGGAAGTGTCATGAATTCTGTGGTTTGCCTGGGCTCCGAATCAGGTTTCCAGCTCCGAGAGCAGGCATCAATCCGATACGATCCTGCGTAAGTTCCAAGCCTTCGCTGTCCGCCTCTACCTATGATCACCTCTCCCTGTGCAACCGTTGTCCCTGCTAGCTTCTAAAGCCCAAGACATCACCAGTACCTTACTATCTTCCAAGACCACAAAGTTTGTGAACCTAAGGCGTTGAGGTTTACGGGGCCTTACATGTAGGAAGTTCATAGGGGAAGCCTTCAAGCCTCGATAAGCTTAGATAAACCCGTCGACTTAAACGAAGACTCAACCGACTTGAACGAAAGCGCTCAGGTTCGTCATCGCCTCCTTTCCAGGCCTCTTTGGCACCGCCCGGGGTGAGCGGGTGCGAGCCTGGTGTCGCAGGCCTGGCTCTCGAATTTCACAGGAATCTTGCTTTTTTCTTTTGAATGCTACCTCTTGAGTGCCTTCCATTGTCTTCGTTTCTGTCTCCCTCCGTCTCTGTCTCTCCCTTTGTCTCCCCTCTCCTTTTTTGGGAACCTTCAGAATGAGGTTTGGGGCCGAGAGTGTTTGAGGCAGAATAGCCTTCAAGCTGGAGTCTGCAAGGCTTGGGCGATTTGGCTACTATTCTGAGTTCTGTCTGTCCTACCTCCTAAACGTGACCTGTTCAAACCTCTCAATCCCGTGGCAACAACTGCGGCTGCAAACCCTCCTCGAGACTTTGGCCGGGGGATCGCTTGCAGCACACAGCCAGATCTCCCAAAAAATGGAATCAAATGAAAATTGCTGTTGGGGTATACGAAAGTAAACGGACCAGCACCCTGTAGTGTAGACCCACCAGAAGACGTTGAGAGGGCGAGAAGGGGAAGGCCCGGTAATGTTTCCTTAGAAAGGCCGCGACTTCAACTTCACCCCGCGCATTGTACCACTGCCCGGCAAAAATCGTTTCCTATATCAGGTCCCAGAGTAGATGTAGGGGATGCTGAATAGCCCTGCAATCTTTCTCTAAAGAGTGCCAATGAAGTTGGGGTGCGCCATTGACAAGTGCTTGAAATAACTTCTATAAGAACAAGCAGATCTGGTCTGCCCAGGTGGATACCTCAAGCCATACCAACCCCAAGGCTCGTAAGGTTGAGGGGGTATCTACCAGCTGCAGCTGCCCCAAAGCGACGCCCCCTGTACGTCAGCAGGTATGGCTGGACCCTGCTGTGGTCTTTGGGGCTGAACCTCGGCTTCACCACCGACTTCGGCATGCCCCACTTCTGGGCCACTGGGCAATGATCATTTGAGTTCCCTTGTGGCGGTTGTGTGACCCTAAACGCTAGAACGTTTTTGGGGATTTGAGATAGTTTCGTGGTGGCGGTTGTGTAGAACGGTCTCCACACCCGAAAAGCAGCCCAGGACCTCAAAAACCAGTCGGGGCCCTTCTGGGACCATCCCAGACTCCTCGACCCGGAGACTGTTGGGAGCCTGGGACGCAGACCTCAACGCCCCGAACAATGGCATTTCGTAGGGTGATTCTTCGAGTGCTTGGAGCTTTTTTGCCATTCGCGACATGTACTGCATACCTGGGAGACGAGTGCACAAAAACAACACAGGACATACAGATCTATGATGATATGAAAGAGTGCACCTCCAGCTACCTACGGGGCCAGGGAAGTGCGAGGACAGTTCTCACACACAGACCCACAGACCCGCAGACCAGTCGAAACTTGTCGGGAAGATCTTGTATTTGCTTCTAGCTTCCAGTGCCCTGGGTTGCCTCCAGTCTTTATTGGTACTGCCACCCTGCGTGTTTTTTCTATCAGGGATCGAGGCAGAAGCTGCGCACTTAATCTTGCAAGTCTTCCACCAGGCTTTCGTCAAGTAGTGTATCTTCACAATGCTCTTCATGATCCTAATGCGAGCATCAGGAAAATGTTCGCATGAAACTTCTTCAATTGGGTGGTATTCAGTTGTTGTCGATGCAAACCTTACTCACCACTTTCGGAGTGTGTTCGACACATTGAATGAAGCGTCATCGTGTTGCAAGCGCATGTTGAATCAGCATTTGCAGACGTTGCAATGCGGCATGCGCAGTGACATCATCCGACCACCATGCATTTCCGAGGGCGAGGTTTAACACGAGCTTCACGAATTCAACACGTCCCTGAAAAGCGCTGGCCTGAACCATGTCCTCGCACGGTGCATCAGCCGCACCCGCAAGCTTGCAGGCGGCACAGTCACATTTTCAGGTTGATGCGGGGAATGCGCACGAGTGGTCAAAAAGCTCATGACATGCGAACCGAAAACTGAATCTCATGCGTGGCTTCTGTGGTTAAAAGTCTAGGGGCATCGGTAAAACCTGTCGAAAAGGGATGTCAAGCCGAACGAGCCTCAAACCTAGGTAAGAAGTCTCAATGCCAAGAGGGATTGAAAGCCTAAGCCCGAAAGCCCAAAGAATCGAGGCCTGCCGTGAACGCCACTTGTGGCACGTCCGCGGTTTTTGCCGAGGCTGGGAAGGGGCGGCTAAAGGGTTTACAGGTAAGGTTTGGGGTTCTGAGGAACAGAGTCTTTGTTTGGCCTGCAGATGCCGCGCCAAACCTTTCAACCCTGCAGCCTACAAGAAACCAGTCTTCGATTCAACTTTCCAAGCACGGCGAGACGCTTATGCCCCAAAAGCTTCTACCAACCCCAAAAGCATCAAAAGAACCACAAAGCCCGATCTCCACGTCCTCCTGAAAGCAGTACCCCTACAAGTGGTTTCGGTCTTTGGGGGTTGAACATCCAGGAAACCTAAACTCCAAAACCCCCAAAGTCCAAGCCAATCACGCAGTCGCAAAAGAAGGCAGACGCAAAAAGAGCTAAGGCTTGGGCGGCCGTGGCCGCCGCACGTGCAGCGCGGCATTTGGTGCCAAAGGCCCAGAGAATCGGGTGGAAAAATGGAGTGGAACATGGATCCATTGTGCGCTTGGAAGAGCTCAATAGTTTGTGCAGAGTAGATTCCGACCATCGTGCGTCGCGCAGGGGGCCAACAGTTCCGGGACAGAGGTGTGCTCTTAGGTGCTGTTACCCCTTACTCGGTTCTTAAGCCCCTCCAAGCTCCTGTCCTCGCTTCCTCTTACTGTTGTTGCACCTGTCTCCCTCCTCCTCCTCTTCCTTTCTCCACTCTTTCCTCTTCTTTTTATTCCTTCTTCTGCCTCCTTCCCCTCTCCTGAAAATTGGAGCAAGTTGTGTCGAGGGGCGTGAGCAGTCCGCGCATGGTCCTCGACCGCAAGCCGACATCCCCCCAAAAAATTCGCCGCGAAGCTCGCGCACGAAGCCCAAGAACAAGACTGTGGCAGGACTGGGCCGAGCTCTGGGCTGCGCTGGCCTCGAAGGTGCCCGCCGCTTCGCGGAGCCCGGGCGCAGGAAGTCCAGCAGGCTTAGGGGTCTTGGAGGTTGCTTGGGGAATATTGGGGCTGATTGAGGGCTTTGAGACTTCGAAGTTTGCAGGCGAAGGGTGTTCATTTACTTCTTCTGCCCTACAGCTATGGTATCAGAAGGGCCACAGGCTAGCAAAGTGGGGCATATGGACTCCTTGCCCTGCCGGGTTTGCTTGGGGGTTCCTCAAAAAGCTAAGTCCGAATCGAACAAGGGGTACGGGGTCCAATTCTTTCAGGTATTTATCTCGCGAACCCTCTTGCATCCCAATACTCGCTCACCCTTGAAAATGAAATTATTGTCTCAACCCCAGGCGCCAAAAACCACCAGGCGCCAAAAAGCAAGAGCCAAGGATCTCCCCGCTCCGAGCGTTCTCTTGTGCCGATCCAGAGGGTTGCCTTGGCATCACGGAGGTCTTCCGGCCTCCTAGCAACCCCCCCCCCCCACCCCCCTCACCCCCCTAAGACTTCCGTGAGACTTTAGGATGTTGAGGTTGTAATATGCTTTTTGGGCTGTGGACGGAGTGCTGGATCAGGGCATATGAATGAAAGTTGCGGGCTGAGGCATGCGGCCATGCATGAGTACTGAGTACAGGTTTGCTTTATTACCTCCGCAGTTGGTGTCTCAAACGTTTGTGAGCGTGGATGTGCTTTGCCCGCAATATGGCTGCTAAACTTGCAACTCCGATTCCCTGGCCTAGTAAGTTGCAATGCCAAGCCCAGCTTGTGTTCTCTGGAGCCGCTGCAAGGATGGCGACTGTGTATGCACCACAGCGTCTGCAACTGAAACCGACGCCATGATCGTCTGATGAATGCGTCACATGCGAAGGACTTTGAAGGTGGAGCACCAGTACCGACAAGACTCGGTATTGATCAGTGTGATCCACGGGCTGTTCCAGCAGGCGTCTTTACGATGCAAGGACATGACAGGCCAAAAACAGCCGCAAGTCCTGCCTCTAATTGCGAAGCCGGCCGATGATGAGATGATGAGTTGCCGGCTTCAAGCAGGGACTGGTCCTAAATGGAACAGAGTTTCTCTGCTCAGCCACCTTCACAAAGAAGGCTGTGCTGATTGTTTGTCACGCCTCAAGCGAAGTGCACCGTGGGTCCAATGTCAGGATGCATCTGCATGGGCTTACACTTGGGCCAATTCTCATGAGTGTTTGCACGCACGGCGGCAAATCAGAGTTCATCAACATGCCAGCAAATGATTTCGCACTTAAGCTTTGCCCTCTGGACACATTGCCGTGGGGACCCCTGCAAGCTGCACCAAGGCAATCCACTGAGGGCGAGAACGTCCTCGTCGACCTGGACAAAGACGAACAGGCAGCTTGAGATACAGCTCTGCGTTGAGGTGAGGAGGTTTGGCTTCTCAGACACTTGACCCTAAAACTGCTACGAACCGCAACCATGGCATGTGAGTTCACATCTTTCAGAATTTCAGGAACTCTACAGAGATGCAAGGTTCTGAATATGCGATGCTAGATGAGCCTTTGGTTTGATACCCACGTCCTCGAGCCAGTGCACAAGACACGCCGCCAAAGCAGGGCTTCACTCCACCCAGAACTTGTCCCCGCTCCGGATTCAGGATTTTTAGCTATTCAGGCACCGGGTCCCCAAAAGTTTATACTTTCTGTGGGCGGAAATTCAGGTGCTGGTTCTTCGCCAGCAACTAGATAGCTCAGAAGAGGAGACGACCGAGACGGAGGCCAGAGGTTTCGGGCTTTTCAGGGGAGGTTGCTTTAGCCCCCGAACTGAACTGATACCCTCAAAACCATGGTAGAAACTCTAAACCTTCCAATGGCCCGAAAGGCCCACAACATCTAAGGAGGAGGGGTTCAAGATTCAGGATTGGGACACTTAAAGCTGTGCATTTTCTTTGGGAGACCTGCTTAGGCCCACAGGGTAGATAGTCTGAAGCTGGTGAGGCAGTCGAGACCAAGGTGGCTGAACCGACTGCTGCGTGATCCAGGCTCGCTACCTTTGGTCCTCTAGCTTGGGCGAGCGTCCCTAGTCACCCCCAAACACCACAGTACATCAGGAAATGCTGACCCTAAACCCCTAAACCGAAGCGAAGCCAACGAAGTCTTTGTCAAGGAAGTCCTGGGTGTCCGATCCTCACTGAAGGCCGAGGCAGGCCAGCGGCTAGCTTCACCACTGAAGCCAGCTTCCTGCTCAAGTGCATTCCCAAGATGCGAAGCAGGGAAGGTTCTCATTTTTTTGCAATACGCCAGTGAAATCATGTGTTGTGACCACTCTTTGTGGCAACATGTCTGAAGGAAGCAGCGCAGGAAGCTGGCTCCGTGCGCATATCAAGTGCTCTTAGGAGCATGACGTGGTGTCGAGTGCCGGCTGCTTTAATTTCGCTGTACTGTGTAACATGAAGGCCGATACTGTATCAGTTGGTTGATTATACCTTTCACATGTAGGCTTCGCGGATGCATGGCAAAGCCGGGGGCAAATGCCCCTCTTGCCTAAATGGGGTTCAGTGTGCACGCCAAACAGGCCTTGAAGCCTTAACGACCCCTGTGGCCCTGCCTGGGTGCCCACACCGCCAGCGCCATTTGCAAAGCCGCTGCGTTGAAGTGTGTAAGGACAGCAGCCCTCTCAAACATGTATGCCTAGCGATCTCAAACCCTCACTGTTTCATGAGTCCTTGTTTTTCTACTCGTCCACACGTGTGGGCACCCAGGCCGACGTTTTCCCCCGAGCAGTCTCCAACACAAAGTTTGATCATGAACCTAAAGCCTACATCCCCACGTATCGTACACCACAAGAAGGTCACCACCAGTTGCGCTCCCCAACCCCTGAACCCACAAACTCCTGAGCCTAAAAACCCAAGAATCGCCTCTCTCGAAGTATCCGAGTATCACAGGCCTTCGTGAGGCTTTTCGGGTGGGAGAAGCCATGGTTTGCGGAATTCTCGCGTGTCGCGTGGCGGCTCCGTGCTGGGAGCTGAGCACAAGGTTCGTGTTTAGGATGAGTTGGGGAGAGGGAGAGGGAGAGAGAGAGAGAGAGGTGTGGAATGTCTAGTGTGGAAAGTTTTACAATAGGTCATGTTTTAGGTCTGCTGCAGCCCAGTTTAAAAGAACTCTCCAAACTCCCAACCCCAGTTTTTCAAAAGCAAGCCAGGGCATCACATGCCTAGAACAACATGCAGGCATCTGAAGCCCTTAAGCCCACGAGACCAAAGACCTACAAGATCGAACACGAAGATATACGCAACTCCCCTTGTGACCCTAAACCCTAAACCCTAAACCCTAAACCCTAAGCCCTAAACCCTAAACCCTAAACCCTCAACCCTCAACCCTCAACCCTAAACCCTAAACCCTAAACCCTAAACCCTAAACCCTAAAACCCTAAACCCTAAACCCTAAACCCTAAACCCTAAACCAAAAGCCCTGAACCCTAAACCCTAAACCCTTGTGACCCAGGTTGGGCTCTACTGCGACGTGCCCCTCGCTCCGTGAGCTTTCCAGGGAAGAGCAGGGCATGATCTTTAACCACAAGGGCTGGGGGTTAGGGTTCAGGGTTCAGGGTCTAGGGTTTAGGGTTTGGGGTTTGGGGGTTAGGGTTTAGTTTTTAGGGTTTAGGGCTGGAAGTCACGATGTGGCATGCTGGGGGTTCATATTTACGTGGGCGTTTTGGGTGCTTTTGGGGACTCAGGGTTTTTTTGGGGGCTGTTGGATAGTTGCTGGTGGAAGGGTCTGAAGGGTGTGGGGCTCGAGGGGCAAGGGTCTTCAGATCTGTACCGTCTCAGGGCTCTCTTGGGCTCTTGGTGGCTGAGAGTCTTGCTCCAAGGGCTCTTAGGGGCTTTGAAGGGAGCCTAAGGTCTAGACAAAGGGGAACAAGGGCCTACTCTTTTTTCCTAGCCCTGTTGTCCCTTATGAACTCTATATGCGCACGCCCTACACCATGAACAGAAGAAGCGCTACTAACCCCTACACACTGAACCCTGAACTGAACCCTGAACCCTGAACCCTGAACCCTGAACCCTGAACCCTGAACCCTGAACCCTGAACCCTGAACCCTGAACCCTGAACCCTGAACCCTAAACCCTAAACCAGTGCCTGTGCCGCTCTTCCGGATTCCTCCTGGAAGCTTAGGGGACGGTAACTCACCAAGGCCTGGCTTCCCACGAGAGAGTTGCGAAAAAATGGGGGGTTGCCGAGATGAGGGGGTGCCAAAATTGGGTTCCTGATTCTTCGGGTTTAGGGTTCAGGGTTTAGGGTTTAGGGCGGGACCCTACTATTTGGGGATCTTTCTTGGGGAGGTCCCCTGTGTTCGTAAAACCCCCAAATCGGTTGTGCACACAGCGTGATTTGGTCTCGAGGGGATCTTACAGTAAGATATTCCCGACCTCCACTCGTAACAGTAATGACCTCAGAAAAGTATTGAGAAGTAGATCCAGGGAAGCCAAATGGTCGATGCAGAAGTCGACAAAATCTTTTAGTTTCCAGGCCTGCCGTGCCCTCGTTCAAGATAAAAAAAGGTGTGTGAGCCAGGGTTCCCGGCTTGGGTGCAGTCAAAAACCTTGAGCGCGCAACTCTAAACCTTAAAGGTAGCTGTTTCTGAGCTTGCGGCAACTTTGCGTAGCAACCGCCAAGAACGAAGTTTTGCTTGTCGGGTTGGCGTCGAGGGTTTGGAGTTTAGGGGGGTTCAGAATACTGCCGCTTGGTGCGCAAAGCATCTCCCTTGCACACATTGTAGCCCCAAACCCTCAAGTTGCTCTTTATCACTTCCACCTAGACCCGAAACCTGAACTTCCAAACGTAAGCCAGTAAACCCGCGCCCATCCCCCCACCCCCCCTCAAAAGGCTTCTGCGAATCCGAGAATTGGGGAGTGTCAAAGGTTTGGGGCTACTGGCCTGGGACCGTACCTTGACGTAGTTGTAACAATCGAGGCCAATGTAAGGTTGTGGCCTAGCTTACGGTCTGCAGATGGGGGTCGGCCAGTCTGGGCTCCATTGCCCAAAGCCTAGCGGGACGCCATCTTCCAGCTGATGTCCGCCTTGTTGTCATCTCTTTACTACGCCCGAAGTGAACCCCAAGGCCCGAGTGCCCAGGTGTTTTCAGGATTGGATCTCCGGCGTGCTCAGAATCGAAATGCTTCAAACCACAGTGCACGCCAGCAACCTTACTGTAGGTCTCATACCTGAAGCCGAAAAGCCTGCGAAGAGCAAGCCAAGAGCTCCAACATTACAAACCCGGAAGCCTTGCAAACGGCATGCGTAGCCCAAACCCCACATCCAGAAACACTGAGCCCTGAAACCCTGTACTCCCAAACCCTGAAAATTCCAGGGTACTTCCTCTTTACATGCGGCGATGACCTGGCACAGTCGCCCGCAGGGCGTGCGTCGACGCCATGGATGTTGGGACCTTTGAGGATGTTGTAGAGAGTTCAGGATGCCCCCGTGTTTAGACCATTTTAGACCTAGCAGGGTTTAGCTCGTGGCCCATGGGCATGGCGACGTTCCGGGTCTAGGACAGCATAACGCGGGTACGAACATCGAAGCATCAAACCTCAGAAAGCGCCTACCCCTGAAGGTCTTGGATCCTAACTCCATACGTCCGACCTATCACCCCTACTGCAGCAACCGACACGCCTGAAAAGTGTACAGCCGCGTCCGAGGCCCTCATCAAGACCTTCTTCGACAAGAAAGTCGGCGACTTCCTCAAGGCCTGGGGGCTCAAGGGGCTTTTCTAAGTGTCGACGTACAGAAGCGCAGCAGCGCACAACCGCATCCGACTCGAAGGGTTTAGGCTTCTGTCCTGCTTGGCTGGGGCCTTTGGGGTCTAGAAGTCAGGGACAAACGGCTGGTGATTTAGGTCTAAAAATACAAGTTCAGGTTGATTTTTTGAGGCCATGAAGGTTGGGCTGTCCTCATCCTTTTTGCGTCAAAAGCAGCTAAAGGCTCCACAACGACAAAGCTTGTACTTGGAGATTTTGAGTCTAAAGATGACGTCTCTGGGTTGTAGGAGTAAGTAACTCCCTGACGGGTGCCTTAAGGTAGCGCCTTGGGTTTCGGACTGCTGCCGCACTCAACAAGCGAATTCAAAGCCGTAGCAGGGTTTTGGGGTTTCGAGACGTCTTGCTCGAAGCAGCAGGCAATCAAAGACGGTTTTGGGTCAAAGCCCTCTTCCCTAGGCTCCAAGCTCCTAAACTAGACGATCCAAACGCCCAAAGCCTCAAAGCCTTTGTGAAGCCTGTTGGAATACACCCCACCCACGATCCGCAAAATCTCCCAAGCTCAACCTTTTTGCAGGTCGACCAAGGCAATCTCCGGGTCGATCCCTCCTCCGGCCAGTTCCAGCTGAAGAAGGCCGTGGGTTCTGACGATATGGATAGAAGGGCTTCCCCCCGGGATGCACAGTTGAGCGGCTTGAGCGTGCAGGGTTCGAAGTCCGAGGGCTTTGATTCGTTTTTGGCGTTGGGGGGGGGGGGGGGTTGGGGCTCAAACATTGGGTCTGGGGCAAATCCAGAAGCGGTGGAAAGGGTAAATGTTGGGTACGTTGGGGCTTAGGTTGTAGCTGACACACTTCTCAAACCTGCTACTGCTTGACGCTGCAGCCCTCTTAACCTAAACGTGAAGCCCTGGAACCCAAGCTGGATCTCCCTCATCAACCGCCAAGAACAGCCAGGCTTCGATAGACGGCTCTGTCGCCTGGACCGATCTTGGGTAGATCGAGATTCCCGATGGTTTATCATTCTTTGCGGGCTTGAGGTTGTAGGCTGCGTACATTGCGCGAGCTTGCGGTCTAGCACCCCAATGCTCTCTGCTTGGTCGCGGTTGTATTTTCGACATGCAGTATGGTTGGTGCTGCACTTGAACGGTTCCGGCGTTTCAGATTTCAGGATCATGGGTGCTACCGACCACCTACGAGCTTGCCTTTCTGAATTTTGCAATCCCTTTGCAAGACATGTCTAAGATCCACGGTGCATGTCACAGACCCTCCTCGACGCTCACAACACAAACTTACTCGAAACCAGTCCCTGCATGCAGGTTGCAGCTCGCATTGACTCGGCCCGCTACTTTTTCCCACCCTACCTTCTTAACAGTGCAACGACTTAAGGAGGCCCCAATCGGCTTTCAACACTCATTGAGTCTTCGTTTTGGCAGTCTACCCTAAACCCCAAACCCTAAACCCCAAACCCTAAACCCCAAACCCTAAACCCCAAACCCCAAACCCTAAACCCCAAACCCCAAACCCTAATCCCGAAACCCCCAAACCCTAAACCCTCGAAGAGCCCGCAGAGCATGCAAAGGCCTTCGACGGTCTCCACCTTCCGGTGGCTCTCCGCGGCGGATTCATCGACGAGCTGTTGGCCCGCCCAGAATGACATGTCGATCCATATATGTATATAACATTACATATATATATATATGTGTAGAATATATATATATATATGTATATATATATATATATAGATACATAGATATAGAAATAGATATAGATATAGATACAGATATAGATGTAGATATAGATATAGATATAGAGATCTATTTATGATTATATACATATACTTATCATTATTATTTTTATTATGACTATTAGCATTTTTGCTATAGCTTTATTCATGCTGTAGTAGCACCCCCCCCCCCCCCCCACCCCCCACCCAAAGGACGCTCTAGAACCCTCTGTCGGCGTCTTCAAGTGTACCCTATAGGAGGCTACGGTGCGGCAGGAAGTGTTCGGCTTCCCAGGGCCTCCTGCTGATGGCCGGGGCCGGCTCTTCCCCCCTCGACCCACTCCTCAACTCCAAACACACACGACATCCCGAACGCTAAGCCCGGCCGGCGCAACCCATTCCAGAGCCCTGAGGGCACCGAAGATCCAAAGTGCCGGGTTTAGGGTTTAAGGTTTTAGGATTTTGGTTTCGGGTTTCGGGTTTAGGTGCAGATGCAGTGGAGATGTGGAAAGGTTTGGAGTTTCGGGTTCAGGAGTTTAGGATCTGAGGTTTCAAGCCCCATACCTCCACAGCAAAGGTCCGTCAACCTGCATCTGGACGTGTTCAATCCAGGGGGATCCGCTTCTTGGCCTCTCACTAAAGCCGAGGGTTCTCGGTGAATTCTTTCCCCTGCAATCTCATCGTCTGAAAGTTGAAGGTGGCACTTTGGGTTTTCAAGGGCTTAGGGCAAGTGCCTGGGGCCAAGGTTTCTTAGCCCAAAGGCACAAAGAGCTGGCTGCCTGAGGTCTCTTTGCAGATCCTGATCCGAAATGTGTTCTTTGTCTTCGGGCCACACACGACAGACTGGAGCTGGGCGCACGTGAAGCAGGCCAAAGTGTTGGCCCTTCATCCCTTAAAGGGGGCTGTGTGCACAGTGTTCGGCTCACCAGTTGTAAGGTGGGGCATGGATGGCATCACTGAGGGAGGGGGTGGGGGGACCTTTCCTACGTAGAGGGAAGCGAGGTGGTCAGTAATGTGGGTAGCGCACGTGTGTATTGTTGCTGATTGAGTGCATCCCCCTCGCAGTGCAAATCAAAGCTTGTCGACCTCATTATGCAGATCGCCGCCGCCCGGTTGCAGTTGCACATGTCTGTGGAAATATCGACTCGTCGAAGTGCTTGGTTGCGACTTGCGGTGACGGATGGGATATGATAGACTTGGGTGGCTTGCATATGGTCAGTCGCGTTCCTCAGATCGTAAACTAGCGGAGGTTTTCCTGGGGTCCTAAGATGCCCCGAGCATCAGAAGCTTTCACGCTGAGCAATCTTCCCCCTCTGAAAGAGCCTCACATCCCAGCCATGTTGCGCGATGCAATACCTGCGTAAAATACATAAACCCTGAACGCTCTAAACTCTGAAACCTAGAACCACACGCACACGCACTAACTCGCACGCACCCATCTTTAAAGCCGTCCATCCCCGAAAGCCATAAAACCCTACACCGCAAGAAGCGTAAGCCCTGAGAACCGTCAGCCCCACATAGAGACCCCAAGCCCTCAATATCCAAAGCCCTCATGCTGAAAACCCTGAAAACCCGAAATCCTAAAGGCCCCAAAGCCTTGACAAGACAAAACCCGACTATCCCGAAGCTTTAGCCCTAAACCCTGTAAACCCTGAACCCTAAGCGCCTAAGCGCCCTCGAGCCGAAGTTTCCAAACCCCAAAATCCCCCAAATCTCCAAAACCTCAAAGATAAGTGCGTGGCTTCGTTGCTCTGCGCATTCTTGCAGCTGAGCGAAAGCCCCCTGATACTTTCGCAAAATCCACCAACAACACAGGCCTCCCCCCACGGGCTCCTTTTTCTGAAACCTAAACGCTCGAATGCGGCACGAGCACAAACACACTCACACTCTCTCTCTCTCTCTTCAGTACGAATACGAAAGCTGTCACAACTAAGAAAACAGAGAACACAAGAAAGACTCATTAAGTGCGGTCGCACTGAGTCTAAGTCAAGCAAGTCCCGATCGGCCTGGGACCTGAGCACTGAGGAGCTGAAACCGTCCAAGAAAGCCAAGAAGTCGCACGAGGACTCGCCGCGAAAGGCTTTCGTTGGGGTTCAGGGCTTCCGGTCTTCTGTAGTCTTCCTCGGACGGCGAGGAAGTAGTGAGCGGCAGCCGAGTGGGCGACCAGCATTTCTCGATCAGGTTTGGCTTTCGGGTTTTTGCACCCCTCGAAGCCTCAAATACGTCAACCAAGTCCACACATGAGGGCGTTAAGTGGAGGTAGAGGAATAGACTTTGGATGTGTTGGAGGTGGGGTTTGTGGGTACAAACAAGGCTCAAGTTCGGTATTGGGGGCCTTTGGTTTTCCTCAGGCCCTGTGCTTCTAACCATCATGATGCGCACCCCCCAATGTGAGTCATCTTGTCGAGTCGGCAGCAGGATCCCTAGCCTTTGCAAACCCGAAGCCGGAGCGGCTCCGACCTCGAAGCCGCAGAACCTATTTCCTCCACACTTACGGGGTCTCGACCCGCCCACCCCTACTTGCGGACCCTCAGTTCCCACGTTTTGGTATCTTGACTCTTGACTACCTCGGAAACTCGGAGATGAACGTTCGTCGGCAGGTGGGGGGTGGGGGGGGGGGGGGGTGAGTGGGGCACCGCCTTTGTCCTCCGCACTTAGGGAACCGCATCAACATTCTCACGACTCCTTCGACAAACATCTGCCTGTACTGTTGTCCAAGCCCTAGAAGGTTCAACCACCCCGCCCCCCTTCTCCGCCCTAAACCCTAAACCCTAAACCCAAAACCCTAAACCCTAAACCCTAAACCCTCAACCCTAAACCCTAAGGTCACCAAACTATTCTAGGATAGTTCCCTTCTGGTCTAGCCCCCCTTACTCCTGCATTGCCTGGATCCCTGGAGCCGTTCAGCTGTTTTTTTTCATTTGGGTTTAGGGTTTTAGGGTTTTAGGGTTTAGGGTTTAGGGTTTAGGGTTTAGGGTTTAGGGTTTAGGACTTGGGGCTTAGGGTTTAGGGTTTAGGGGTTAAGTTTTAGGGTTTAGGGTTTCGGGTTTAGGGTTTAGGGTTTTGGGATTCGGGTTTCCACAAGCCGCAACCCTGACCCAGAAACGAGTTGAAGGCGGCCTTGCTGATGCCAGGACTCGGCAAGCGGATGGCTGAGTGACATCCAGACCCGGATCAAGCAGGACGGTTTAGGGTTTAGGGTTTAGGGTTTAGCGTTTAGGGTTTAGGGTTCAGGGTTCAGGGTTTAGGGTTTAGGGTTTAGGGTTTAGGGTTGAGGCGCGCTCGCGCGTGCAGGCTTCCTGGTCCAGACCTCGAGCATCCGCCCTGCAAATCCCTGCGCCCCAACCCCAATGTGAAGCAATCAGCCCCTGCCCCGAACCCTCAGCAGCCAAGCTACCTGTACAAAAGGACCTCATGAAGAAGGTTGCCGAGATGATCGAGGCCACCCACCAAAAGCTCGAAGTCTTGGGTTTGGAGTTTAGGGAGTTTAGGGCTGCCAACAATAGTGCTCCGAAGTCTCGAATGCCCAAAAGCCTGAAAACCCCTAGCTGTCCATCCTGGCAGCCCCAACATGTTGCATGTTGTTCGGGTCCGTGGCATATCTCATGTTCCAGCTCTGGAAGCTTCGGAGCAGCGGGGGGGCCTTGGGGGGGTGGTTGGGGTCTCTCACTTGTGCCATTCCCCCATCCCGAAACCTAAAGCCTCCAAAAGGCTCAATCCGAGAACGCCATCTGTTGCTAGGCTCGCCTTTTGGCACGTACGAAGTTATGCTTAGGTATCCATGGCGAATGCGGTCGTCCGGTCCCAGTTGAGAGAGTAGGAGGGGCATTAGTTAGTTATCCGCCCAGGTCAACATTGCGAACTTTCACATTCGTTTCGAGGCCTCGAAGCGCTCCCAGAAACTTTAATTGAGGCCTTCAATGCTTTGGGGTCAAGGCGTTTTCGATTTGGTATGGGCTTGAGGCTTGAGGCCGCGTTGGTCATCCACATCTCAGGGTGTTGAGGGGCCATTTCAATGTAGTTCCAGACCGACAGACCATGCTGGAGACCGACAGGACCCCAATCGCATCGAAATCTGCAGCCAAAGTATGCTGAGCGCTCTTGATACCCTAACGGGTCTTGAGTCTCGGGTTTGTACCTAGATTTTCAGGGGGCTCGGTGGCCGAGGATGGGCAGGCTCTTCTGAACACTAACCCGCACTTTTGAAGGACTCGGTGACCCAGCCGGTGCCGTACTCCTGTGGCTTCAAGCTGGGCTATGCCGCAGTCTTCGCCAATGAGGAGCGCAATATAGGGGTCAGAATCATTGCTAATAATGTTCCCTTATGGTCCCTTTGTAATTATACAAGCATAACCCCCCCAAACCCTATTCTAATCATTCAGGCCACTATATTAGATGGCTCCAAACAGCTTGTCTTGTCGAGCCCTCTTTGCTACTTCCTGCGGCTGCTAATGATTGTCACTGGGGCTGTACAAGGTTTGGTGGGGATGTGGCGGCTATACCTGCAGCGTGCGTGAAGCAGTGTACTTCAGGTTGAATGAATAGTGAGGTCAGTGCCGCACGCTCCACGGCACCCTTGGTGTCGCCTCGCGAGACGCAGCAGCACCAACACAGCCAGACCTAGCCAGGGCTTCGAAGTCACATGTTTACTTTCTCGGAAAAACTCACTTCATGTCACTTCACGGCATGTGCCTTGAAATCAAGAGTACTTGGACCTCAAAGTGGCAGAGTCGATCTTGCAGGACAACAGCTCACAACGCACCACGGGCATATGGAGGGTGCGCGGGGGGAGGAGGGGGATTCCGCGTTCCGGGCATATGCGTTTGGGAGGTTCAGGCTTTGAGGGGGCAGTTTGCATGACCCTAATGTGGCCAATATCATCTGAGTCAAGGCTTGGCATGTAGCGCAGGTCGTCAAGGGAGTTGCGAACACAAGTGCCACTTAAACTTGGCAACTACACAGGCCACTCTTCCAACCAATCGTAAGTTTTCGCTTCCTATTCTGTTCGGTGCCACTGTATAGCCAATGTAGCTGCAACTTGGCTGAACGTTATTACTTGTCGCTCGGCGTGTAGCAACAAAGTGTTGGCCCAGTGGGGTATCTCGAACTCGCCCGCGTAATGAACTGTAAAAGCTCCCCCAAGTGCAAGCTGCAGTGGGGAAAGTCATGGAAAGTCCCATGGTTCTGACCCCGAAAGCGATGTCACGCCGCCATTCGCCAGCACACTGTGGATGTTCTTGCGGACCCACTGTTCTGCCAGCTGTCGGCTCAGTGATGTGTTGTGATGTTTTGTTTTTGTGTGGGAAAGGTACAAACTACGGGGTTCTGGTGTGTTTTCGCCAGCAGTCTGAGCAAGAAAGCTCCCAAACCCGAACCCTGACCTGATGTTGCACCACCCCCCAAACCTGTACCTGTCTGGCTGCCAGTTGCAGACTTGCCCCTAGCCGCAACCGCAGAAGCCACCCCGAATCATACCCAAAGCCACTGACACCCGGGACCCCTAGGGGCCCCTGAACCCATGCCCAAACCCTGGACCTTTAACCTCGAAGCCGAAGCTGCGTGGCTCTTGCTCCCTAGACCGGCCTTACGAAAAAAAGAGGCTGTGCGGGAGGTAGGGTTGAGGGCAGTAGGATCGAGGGTTCAAGAGGGCTTTGTTGAAGTTTTAGCGGCGCTAGTGATAGTGGCTTTCGGCTCACTTCTGGGTTTAGCTGAAGGTCTTCCCAAGGCGCTGCTTAGGGGCTCAGCAAGAGGTACCCTAGAGCAGCAACCCAAAAACCTCGCTGCGCCAGAATGCCGAAGCCCCCAAAGGGCCCAAGCGCCACGAACACATGGCAGGCGCATGAGGTCCTGGAGCCCTGAGTCCCGCAACTCCAGGAGCCTTTAAGGATCTGCATGTCAAGCTCTTATCGAGATTCTTGTCACAGGCCTCAACACCCCTATCTCCTCCCTGCCCTTGAATCTGAATGAATCCTAGACCGACCTCCTGAAACCCTCCAGCGCCAGACTAGCCTAAGCCGCGTGCCAGACGATGGGCATTTCTTTGGGACGGCTGTGGCAGATGCTTTATGGGCCGAAGGAGGTAGGGGGCAGTGAGGAGGAGTGTAGGTCTTCGGAGGCGTGCTTGGAGCTGTTCATGGGTGATTAAGTCCTTTCCATAAAACAGGAGCAGCCATCCTGATACAAACTGTGGATCTCGCCACGACGTATGCAGACAGCATCCAAAAGGGTTCTCAACCCTTGCACGGCGCAACGGCGTTCTGAGACCGTACGAGCAGAGCTTGTGGTGTTCGAGCACTGTTAACGAGATCCCGAGGATGTTATCAACATTGGTGCACTGGCGCAAAGAGTGAGAAGCTTCAATCTGAACCCTAGATCTCAAAGAAACTGCCTAGCTGCTTTTGTTGGATTGAACCCTTCACCTTAAACCAACACAGTGGCTTTCGATCGAGCACAGGAAGTTTCCGCACACGACCTGTCAGAAAGTCTAAAGACCAGCCGCCACGGCCTGTAATTCGGTGTCTGTGCCTGGCAGTACCCCGAAGCTCGCATTATAGGAGACAAAGTGCCGTCCACCCCCCAACTTTCACCGGACACACCCATGCAATTCGCTGCTAACATCAGGGCTCTATGCCCCCAATCATCGAGGGGGCCTTTCCCACAAAAGTCCCGGACCGTCGGGGGAGGCTTTTGGGTTGAATGTTTAGTTCGGGGCAAAGAATTTTGCTTTCGGCTGGGAACTTTAAGGCTTCGGGCCTTTTTAGGCTGTAGGTTCGCTGACGTAGGGCAGCTTGAAAGCCACGTAGCCCCAAACTCTATGTCGCACCAGGTGAATGTCCTTATGCTGGGCCTCGATGCAGCTTCTTGTCTGCCCCCATAAAGCCTTACTACTTTGAGTCTTCGGTCGGTCTTAGTCCCGCAGGGTAGCTCTTCGAAAGGGTTGAACCCCAAAACCGAAACCCTTCCTCGCCGACCCGGGTGTCGTGAGGTGTTGAATTCAAACTGCAACAAAACCAATGTCGCGATTATCGTAAAAAGACGAACCCCAAGATGCAGCCATGACGGCAGCGTACCCCGGCTGGGGCAAAAAGGTAGCGGCTACATGTAGATGGCTCGCTGGGACAGTTGTAGCAATGTCAATGGCAATGAACTGGTACCTTGATATTTGTATGTCTTTAAGCTACTTCCAACATCAAACGCTGCCGCTGCAAGCACCTTGCCTGACACCCCTGCATGCTGAACGCCCCTGAATCCCAGGCCGGTAAGACGACGATCCTCTACAGGCTGAAAATTGGGGAGATTGTGTCGAACCTCAGCAGCAAACCCGCCGGCTGATAGGCTTGCGTAGTGTCATTGGTTTTTGATTCAGGTGTGAAGAATGTCTTGGGAAAGAAGGCAAAGAACGCTTTAGCAGTTGATTGCTTTTCGGAGTTGTGTACTAAGTTTACTCTTTTGTGACCTCACGCGTTTCCTACCCTTGCACTTCCAAACTTTGTATCGCCAGATGGATATCTGGCATTCATGCTAAACGTTGCAAGCCCTAAGCCCTGAAAGGCACTTTTGATGTTGAATAGCTTTCATCCTCACATCATGCAAGGGTCACCACTTCCGGCATCTCAGGGGAGAGTGTTTTCTTGGAACTTTCGCAGCATCTACGTGACGCCCTGTTATGTACCTCATCTCTTCTGCGAGCTGTGGTGTGCGCTGTTTTCGCATTAAGTCCGAGAAGCATCCCAAACTGGTTTGGGCATGCTCCGCAGTCGAAGATGTCAATCGGATTCAATCGGATTACAAGGACCGTCCCCACCATCGGCTTCAACGTGGAGAACGACACTTGGCATTATGCCCAACCCTGAACCCCAGGGTTTGCCTTGAACCGTGGGGCCTAGGGCCTTAAGGTTTCAGGGGGTTCGCGCCGAAATCCGAGCGTCTGAGTAGGAGGGGAGAGCTGGTTCTCCCAGGTTCAAGACAAGGGCCCGGCGTTTTGCTAATTCCCCCTAACGCTCCCCTCCAGCATTGAACCCTCCTTACATTCGGGATGGAATGGCAGCTGCTTTCAGAAGGCATCGAATGAGGAATTTTTGGCGAGGCCAGGCTTCTTGCGGGCTTCTGTTTGCTCGTTCTCTTGGTACCACTGTATTCACACGTATACATCTTGCCCTAAACCCTAAACCCTAAACTCTAGACCCTAAACCCCTAACCCCTAAACCCCAAACCCTATATTTGAGCTCAGGAAGCAAAAATGCATAGCAACACGCATGGGAACCCCAGTCGCAGAAACAAAGCACCCTTTTTACGTGAGGACTGCCCGCACACCCCAATCGAAGCAAGGTACACTACGGCAACATCAACTTCTGCGTGTGGGACGTGGGCGGTTGGGGACCCATCCTGGGACAAAACTCGCAGTTTTTAGCGTGGCGGCTTGAAGGTTGGCAGGTTGGGCACGGCCCCCAAGGGATACCAAAAGGGCCGTGCAGAGGTTAGGGTTTGGGGACTTAGCGGCATTGAAGGCTTTGGTCCATGGTATTTGGGGTCGGCCATCTGGTGCAGAGGGCGCAGCTTGGCTTGGATTCGGGGCTAGGCTGAGATCTACGGTCGGTTGTACCTTGGGTTTAGGGATGTTCAGGGTACAGATCTTACCCGGCCACGCAAATAGCCAAGAGAGCACAAGTCATGCCACAAGCGATGGCGTCCATTGACGCCACAACCCAGCACTTGCTTCCTTGGCTTGGCACTCTATAGACTGAACCCCAAGGCCATCCAAGACTCTTCACCCCGAACGCTCGGCACGGCTCCATGCAGCTTCAAGCTTTGGAACTAAAAACGTCACCCTTTTTGGACTCCTCAGAAGGTCGTCTTGTGTTGGAAGGGGGCTTGGCAACAATGCCATTTGGCCTTGAGGCTACAGTCTTGTCTCGAGCACACCGAGGTTCTTTTCGGCGGTCATCCGGTGAAAACGAGACAGAACATGTCAGGGCACATGCCCTCACTAGGATGACTCACAAGGGGGGGGTGTGCTTTTGGTGTTTTTTTTTTGCAGCCTGCTTTACTTTGTGCTTTTGTGGCATCCGGCTACTTCGTCAGCTCTGCCGGCTTGGCTTACCGGCAACTTGTGCATCCTTCCTAAAAAAGGCAACTGCGGGTGTTTGCACGGTCTGGCACTGCTGAGCTGGGCAACTTCTGCTTGTCTACTTGTAAGAAAGTCACCTCTGGTTTTTGACCGCTTGTTTTTGACGACGAAGAGCACCAAGTCTTCATCACAGCGCACAACTGTCTCAACCCTGACCCCCACACCTCCAACCTACCTTGTCACGTCTTCAGTTGCAAAAAGAGCCCATGGTGCCGAGAATCTCAACTGTCCAAAGCCAACCATCCATAACTTGCAAGCGGAAAGCCCTGCAATACTAGCTGCAGCCAGAGGCCAAGAGAAGCTCCGAGGACTTTGGCGCCATTACTACAAGGAAGCTTCACTGTGCAGGGCTTTGGGATAAAGTTTCAGGGCTTCGACTTTGTGTGTGGTGTTCAGTTTGATTCAAAGTTCCCAGTGGTTGGGTTTACGGTTTAGGGTTACTAGCCCCGCCGCTCTGCTACTGCTACTGCTGCTGCTACTTCTACTGCTACTGCTACTACTGCTCTACTCCTTCTAGAAACCATTGCTACACCATTCTGCCGCATACCCCAACTACGACGTGGGCTACTGCTAGCGCGAGCCACAATGAACAGAAGCATCAAGAATAAGATTGACAGTCGCCTTCAGGTTTAAGGGGCCTCTCTGCAAGTCACAGGTTGCTCGCCTCAGATGGCGACAACCATGACTCCTCGCGACGTTGAGAGTGCGCCGCTCATGCACACCATGGAAGACATTCCTGTTGAACTGTGGAAGCAGCGGGCGTACACAGCAGGTGACACGTTCAAAGTGAGCGTGCTCGTGCCCCCGACACCAGAAATGGCATGCTGGGCACGACTTTGTCATTGCATTATCGCTCCAGAGAGTCTGACCTTCCATTGCCTGGCAACTTGCATTGGCATCTGCAACGTGACTCCCCTAACAAACGTGACCGTTACCAGCCTTCAGTACCAGCTCTATTTGAACTCCATTTTCCACAGACTGGACGTGAGCTTCTATGGACATTCGATCACCATGCCCCTGGTGAACCTCTTCTTGATGCTGAAGATGATCCAGGTGAGCAGTGGCGCCATCCAGTATGCGACGGTCTATGCAGCACTGCTCAACGTTTCTGAGTTCTTGTTAGATCACATTTTAGAGCTCAATTCATGCTGAAGCCCAAGAAGAAATTCAAGCGATCATCAGTAGTAACTCCCTACACCCGAAACCCTAAGCCCTAAACCCAGAAGCTCAAAGGGTAATAGTATCCCAACATATCCCAGCACCAGCCCAGGTATGGTATCTTGTTTGGGGCATCAGCAACAAGATATGGTGGATGGGTGTCGCAACTGGGCCCTTGTTGAGGAACTTAAATGTCGGCTTTAGGGTTTGAGTTACCATGATAAGGGTGCTATAACATAAGCTTTAGTTCCTAGGCAAGAGCCCAGGCAAGTATACCCATGCTGTGGGGTATGTGGGCCTTGGCTCACGCATATCCTCCGGATTTTTGGGGCTACAACTACGCATTCACAATGTCTGTTGTGATGGCTCTCCTGCAAGCTGCAACGCACGTCGTGGAAGACTTACCCCCACGGGTCACAGGCTCCATTTATTGGAAGACGAAGCTTGAGTTCTATTGCTACAAGGTCGACGGCTGTGGAGAGCTGCTTGATAGGATTGTCCGCAGCATTTATCAGATGATCTGCGGCACGCTCGACGAGTGGATGGCGTCTCAGCGTCTACTCTGCTTGTTCTGGGGAATATGCCCGGTCTTCTGGCTGATGAAGAAGTTGCCATCTTGCCAGTCAGAATCGTACAAGATACTCAAAGCATGGGATGCTGGGCTTTTTTGTTAAGGAACTTCAGTTTCGTTACCATAGTAAGCAGGCTGTCCTGATCATGGTAACTGAATTTAAGTTCGCAAACCCTAAACCCTAAACCCCTATTATTGTAGCTTAACCCTAAACCCTTAACCCTCAGCCCAGGAAGACATGGCCAACGTTGCGCTGACTCCTCAGCCTCGCCAGTCGTTCCGTGTGGTTCCTGTGAAGGAACTTAAGTTGTTTATTGGGCTGTTCCCCCTTATACTAACAGTCCTTAATGGGGATTATAGTCGGGAACTATAGAATCCTATTAGGACTGGTAGAATAAGGGGTAACATCCCAAGTTGTGGTATGGTATAGTCTAGTATAATAGCAGGGTTAACGAACTTAATCAGGGCACTATGTAGGGTTTAGGGCTTAGGGTTTAGGAACTTACCACTAAGTTAACTGGATAACTCTTAGAATGGCAACCTAGTTCGAACTCTGAACCCTAATCCCTAAACCAAGTTCCTTACAGGACCCCATTTGGCTTTTGCTACAGACATCGAGTAATATATCCGCCTAAACCTTGAACCGTAAACTTAATTGACTACTGACCCTGAATGCTGAAGCCCTAAACCCTAATTCCAAAATCTGAATTTGCGTTCCGGAACTCTGAACCGTAAGCCCCTTCAAGTAACCTTATAATGGTAGTTTAAGTCCTGAAGCCCTAAACCCTAAACCCTATTATGGTAAGGCGGCTTTTGCAAAAGACATCGACGTTACAAATCAGCTCAGTGCTTGTGGGCGCGCCTGTTATCAGCCTCTGGGCTCTCGTTAAGGAACTTAACTTAAGGGTTTTTCAGTTTGGGGTTTAAGGTTTAGGGAAAGTTCAGGGTGTAGGGTTGCCATGATAAGGGTTTAGGGTTTCGGGTTTAAGGTTCAGGGTTTAGGGTTTAGTGTTCTTGTTCAGGAACTGAAGCGAAGTTACCATAACAAGGGTTTAGGGTCTGGGGAATAGGATCTAGGGTTTAGGGTTTAGTGTTCTTGTTAAGGTACTGAACCCCAAACCCCAAACCCTGTATAGTACCCTGTTACGGTAAATTAATTCAAGTTCCTTATAAACCCTAAATCAAATAAACGTAAAGCCTAAACCCAAGACTTAGTTCAAGTTCCTGAACAAGAAGTTTAGTTTCGTATAGTATGGTATAGTGCACCTACTATGAGTCACTTCTTCCACGCTCCTTAGCACGAACCCAGGCCCTGGTGTCCTGAGTGTTTGGTGCGTCACGATCCGAACACGATTCCAAATCCTGGGCTCGACTTCATTGGCATCGGTGGGGGGGCATACCTAGACACACCTGACTACGAACAGGTGGGGGTCTCAAAAGAGGGTTAGGGGTTTAGGGAGTATGAACAGGCGGGCTTGTTTCAGAATAGGTTTAGGGTTTTGGGCCTGACTCTGAACAGCTGGGATATGCTTTAGGGTTGTAGGGTTTGAGGGTGTTAGGGTTTTAGGGTTTGGGGTATGGGTCCTTATATTCGAAACTGCTTAAGGGCCATTCCTAGGCGCACCTGACTATGAACTGGTGGGCCTCTAGGTTTTTAGGTTTTTAGGTTTTTAGGTTTTTAGGTTTTTAGGTTTTTAGGTTTTTAGGTTTTTAGGTTTTTAGGTTTTTAGGGTTTAGGGTTTAGGCTTTAGGGTTTGTCTTAAAGCAGGGGGTCCCTTATCAGGGGTCCTTGGTAGTAGAAGTTGCCTTAAGGGGCATTCCTAGGCGCACCTGACTATGAACAGGTGGGTTTGTCCCAAAATAGGAGGTCCCTTATATCCCTACTATTGGGGCACACTTAAACACACCTGAACATGATTAGGTGGGTTTGTCTTATTAAAGTTTAGAGTTTCGTCCTATGTGCGGTTGCCTTGGGCCATCTTTCGGGGTTTTGGGAACCTTTCTGCTTTGATCGCAGGTTTCGGCTTTCATAGACGCCAAACCTCTTGGAAGGGCTTTGTGTGTCCAACGCAAGGAACTATTTCAGCAGTAGCTCAGAGTGTACAACTAAACCCTAAACCTCATCCCTAAACCCGAATACCAAGCCTTAATCCCTAAGCCCAAACTGAAAACCTGACACCCAATTCTTACCATTTAGAGTCTATTTAGGGGGACCCAATTTTGCAAGGGATTATATAGAGACTTGAGGGTTTCGCTCCCCCACTCAACCTTGAGAGCACCAGTAGCTTGAACAGGTGTCCTGTGGACAAATGTGCGGCGGATGTCTTCATTGTGACCAATCAATGTTCACGTCTCATCCCGAGTACTTTCGCATCAATGCGAAATCCGCACATGTCAACCAGTGCCGGCTGCAGCAGACAAGCTTTGCCGGCCAAGACGACCCTGAGACCCATGACGTCCCATGCTGTGGATGTGCAGACATATCGTGCTTCTCCGCATTTCTTGCCATGGAGGTTGTTCACTACATTCTGGGGTTGATTGCGTGCATCTTTTTTCCAGATGTGGTTGCATCATCTGTCTTGCTGCGCGGGATGAGAGACTCTCACGCGCTCCACTTCGTGATCCGTGGGGTTTTGGGCCCATGCCTTGCCATGATCCTGATGTATGTCCTCACTTTGAAGATTGCGACCTTCGGGCAGCCCGACTGGAGAAAGATTGGCAGCTGGCGGCTTCTGCCCATGATCCTCTTGTACAGCAGTCTTCTTGTGCTCTCAGCGATAAGAATTTTAAAGGATGGAGGCGTTGACGGATGGCGTGAAAGCAGCGAAATAGAGCATGTCGCTGGGCAAGCCATCTTTTTAGTGGCATACAGTGCTTTCGCCTGTGCTGCAAGCGAGCCCAATACCCCTTAATTGAGGAAGATCGAATAGGGATCCCAATATGAATTGATTTTTGACTTAATAATACAATAATATTAATAATAATAATAATAGCACTCCCTTGAGGTGCTGAATCAACGAATGTTGGGCTCTCTGGGTGGAGACAGCAATCGGAAGAGCTTGGTGGCCAAAGTGCCACAGGGAGACTCAAGCGGGCTGCTGCTTGTAAAGACGATGACTAGCATGCTACTACTGCTGCCACCACCAAACTATTACCAAACCAGTACCTCTTAATTCTGTTTACACCCACTACTACAAACTGTATAGACATGTGGACGATATTGATACACGAAGGGAAGTGCCAAAGGGCCGTCTTGAAATGGTTTTACGTGTTGTGCTTCTTCGCTTCAAGCTCCCCACCCCGTTAAGTCTTATTTCTACCTTACACACCTCTTCAGAATACTCAGCATCTCCAGTCCGAATCCACCATGCAGGGGGGCAACGCACTCATTTTCGTCCTGGACAGTGCTGACCATGACAGGCAGGACTGCTCTTATCAGCATTTCTCCCGTGGCCACCTGAAACCCAAGTTCTAGTTTCCTTTGTCTAACCCAAGGCCAGCCCAATCCGTGAAGCATCTTTTGCAGTTAGACGCGTCATCGCCCGAAATACCCACGGCATTGTGTGGCTTTCCTGTGTGGCTTTCCTTTGAATTATTTTTAGCCAGATGGGTGGGTTCATGCGTTTGGGAGACTCATCGTGAAACGCTACTGCTTATGACACAAAGTAGTGAGATCCTGCTGTGGTCGGGAAACGCCGTCCTGGCCTTGAAGTTTCAGGGTTTAGGGTTCAGGGCTCAGGGTTTAGGGTATGAGGGCACATGTTTTCCCTTGATCATCAAACTCATGTCGGGGTTCTTGTGGATGCGAATCTTGAGAGCTTAGATCCCCCCATGTTGCGGCTCTCCACGTGCAGCCAGGCTACCACAAGCTAAAGAGGCACTGTGCTCGCTTCTTCAGGAGGAGGCAGCGACATTCCCCAATCCGAAGCTTTTTTCAGCCCCTGTAAGGTCTGATCATGACAAACCAACTCTCTCTCACTCTTGGCACTTTACTGTTGTAAGGTTCTCGGGCGTTCTGGTTCCAGACATGTCTCCACGCGGTCGAATGGGACGATCTCTGTCTCAAATCGCCGAGTTTGGTCGCGCGTTCTGTTGTGAAGATTTGCGTGAGCATGCTGCAGTGCATGACTTCGGTCCTGCACGAGTCTCGGCGATGCTTCGGAAGAGCCTGGCAGGCTTCGCAAGATTTCACAAGCTCTCCAGCTACAGGATCCTAAGGTCCTAAGCCTCTTTCATACATCATACATCATACATCATACTTCATGTCATCAGGTTATATGAACAGATATGCATACACACATTTACACACTCAGATATACATACATCTATACACACGCGTCGCACATACCTACATCTCTAAGCTCTGCATCACTCCCGTCCCCACCCTAAACCCTAAACCCGAAACCCTAAACCCTAGACCCTAGACCCTAGACCCTAAACCCTAAACCTTAAAACCCAAACCCTAAACGTGGGGACGATTGAAAGAGGAGCTTCGCGAGGCGCCGGTGCTGGTCCTCGGGAATAAGAAGGCCCAGCTACCTTTCGTGTCGCCTTTTGGGAAGAATTTAGGGTTTAGGGTTTAGGGTTTAGGGGTCATTTTTGGTGATGGGGCACTGAGTGGGTTTGGGCTGGAATCTTCGCTTTTTCGAGTATGGACAGATTTCGTGTTTTGGGACAGCGTTCAACGGTAGGAACCCTCTGACTATTGCGAAAGCTTGTTGTAAAGCACATGCCGAAACTGCTGACCCACAAGCCTTTAACTATCGGGCTTGCTTGCGGCCTTTGCACCAGACCCAAGCAATGTAGGCAAAGGTACATCCCCTTAAGGTCCAAAGTCCCTAAACCCTAAACCCTCAACCCTAAACCCTAAGCCCTAAACCCTAAACAGATCCATCGGCCCTCAACCTTGGACTCCCTAAGCCCAAAAGCCATATTTTGGGCGAGGCAGAAGGCTTTTGCATAGGGTTCGCGTTCACCCGGAGGTTAAGACCCGCGACGCCTGAAGCATCTGGAAACCTTGAGACCGCTGGTGTATTCTGACTTGCAGATCTTGAGCCTTCAAGCAGATGGTGCGCCTTCAAAGTCCTGAAAGCACGGTGCAGACATACAGACCCTTCCAAGCCCTCAGCAGGCAAGGCGACCCCCTGGACTCGCAGTCCGCTTTCAACGGCCTCACTAGACACCAGCAGAACCGCAGCAGAGCTCGTGTGGTGTATGAGGCTGTGTAGTTTGTGTACTTCGATCCCCAGCTCTCAGCGTACGCACCTCAGACCCTGGACCCTAAAACTTTTAAGCCTGGGGTTTCGTGCTTGAGCTCATGTGGCGGCGCGGCTGCATGGGCTGCTTCCCAGGCTGAGGCTCAAGAAGCACACCTCAGGGTTTTCGGGACTTGAGGCAGCAAGATTCAGAACCCAAGGCGCCAAACCTAGAACCCTCTCAGCCGACACAGCCTGCGTTCTAGGGGTTGGATGTTGAGTATGCTCTTCAGGGTAGCAAGACAGAAGCCAAAAGCTTTTGACCAAGACCGTAATGCATTTTGCAAGACGATGAAGAACTCAGGTTTCGACACTTATGTTGGGAATGACAGTGAAGTACACTCGGTGCAAGCCTTTCACTTGGTGGAAGAAGCTTCGATTCGGGGCACGAGAGGGTGGACGAGGTCGACACTCCAAACCATGCATAGTTACCATCACTGGCTGGCGCCATGCCAGCGCAACACGCCAAGGCTTCTGAGCGAGCTCGGAAGACAATTTCCTCAGCAAAAAGTGATATCACCAGTTGGAGACATATCAGTTGGCACATCCGTCAGGACAGATAAAACGTAAGCAAATCCAAAAGGCCGACTCAGGCCGACAAGGTATGCTCTGGACCAGGCAGTCAGGGTGCCTGTAACCTAGATGCAAGCAAACTGAGTGCACTGCAGCATTTCTTCTGGCCAAAGCTGCTGCAGGCACTGTAAGTTTTCCGTAGGTCAGCCGCGGGAATTTTCTGCAAGGTTTCTGCCAGAGATCCTGCATGTCGCCTGCCAAGCCAGTGATAGTTTTTCTGTGTTGTGAAGGCTGATGTTTCTCTTTTCATCTCCGAACTCCTTGATGCGGTCGGCTTGCGTAGATCCGAAGGCACTCTCCAGTAGGCCAGGTGATCGTGCAGAAAGCTAATGGCAATTGCAGAGCGTCCACAACAGATGCACTTCTCAAGCAGACAGGCCCATACATGCCACATATCTTTCTCACGCAGCAAGCCGGTATACACTAGGACCCGCCTTGCTGCAGGTGTCAAAGATGTCTTTTGATGATTCCCAGGCAGGCTCCATGGACCCATGGCTGTTTGGTTTGGGGTTCAAAGACGTGGCTATGAATGAAGTTGCAAAGCCCGAACTACACCTGAAGCGCAACGGCAAACTCCGACAAAACCCCGAAGTTTCAATCCCAAATCCCTCATGAGTTTGTCGATCTACCGAAACTCCTCAACCCTTTCGAAGCAAATTTGGAACCCTGGGCCCTGTTTTTGCCACCCTGAGGATGCCCTGGTGCCGCCAAAGCGCTCCGCATGGGAGGATGAGAGGGCTTCGATTATGTCATGTTGGGGCGTGAGGCATTCTGGGGATATGTGGCCTTTGATTCAGTAGGGTACGTTTCGAGATGAACATCGAAGCAGTAGAAGTTGCCAGGGTTGCGGGGAAATCCAAAGCCAAGACCTTTTAGCAGGACTGGCAGCGCCATGCATCGGATCGGTGGCAGAAGGCGTGGATGCTTCGGTCGTTTTGAATGGAGGAGCAGAGACAAGGAGGGCGGCGAACATGAATTATCTGAATCCCGAAAAATTTTGATGGTAAAGGTGTGTGTGTGTGTGCCCAAAGCCATGTCCCCCTAAGACTTGTGGAAAGACATTGCTTGGCGGGCGATGTTGGAATAATTAATTCTTGTTTAGTTAGGAGCTTACAGGATCCTTTGTTTTGTAGGTGGTCTCCTACAGATCAACTTTCCTGATGCCATGAACTAGCTTTCGGAAGGGGTGTTCTCCAAAGCCTGCTTCCTCTGGATGAGATTTTGGGTAGCATGAGAGCGCTGCAGCACACAGTTTTGATGAAGACGAAGCCGACTCCTCCGCACGACGTTCAGCACGAGACGAGGTAGAAGAGGTTTAGGGCAAACGGCTGCATTCTCGGCAACGTCAAAATCTGAACCCCACGACGGGCTGCGTAGTGGAAACGCCGAGAACTTCCTCACCCCTGAACCACATGCTCACCATAAAAGCCTACGAAAACGGCAGCATCGACCCTTAAACGGCCCTGCAGGCCACCTTTGTTTGAATTAGCAAGAAACTCAAAAAGCCTGGGATGGAAGCTGGCTGAGGCGCAGCTGGCAAAGTCCGTGCTGGGTGCACTTTGGACTCCGGCGGTGCCGTTCGGTTGCAGAGAGCTCCCGATGGGCTTAGGGTTGGATGTGAGTTGGATGTGGTCCTGAAGTGTCAGGAAGTAGGGTCACTGCCCAGAAGGACCCCGCCTGACGGCAACCTGAATCCTGAAAAAGCGCAGGCGGATGGGAGTTGCCCGGGAGACGTTCAGCGAGCGACAGATGTTGGGCAATTGTCGCGGTTAGTCACCAGCCAATCACCGGTGCACTAGCCGGTGCTGCACGCCTACACGCTTACCAGGGCAACAGATCGAGAACAGTGATGATTTGAGGGCCTGGCGGTGGTTGTGCTGCACGAGCAGAATTTGAAAAAAGGACATTTGCATAGCAAGCAATGGGAGGCTTATGCAAGCAATGGTAAAAAACAAACGTGCGTGCTCGGGCATACAGCTTGAACTGCCGGACCGAAGTGTGAATACGGGCTGGCGGAAGGCTGATTGATATAGGGGCCCATTATAGGGGTTTACGGAAAATAGGGGCCCGCCAAAATAGATCCCCAAATAGTGGATCCCCTCATAATAAGGACCCCAACAAGGCACCCCTAATCTTGGAAACCCCCAAAAAGGAAAACCGGGAGGCAGACAAACCCTCAGCCAAGGATTCCTGGTTCTTAGTAGGGAAGGAGGGAATGAGGTCCCTAGATCATCCCTCTTTACGGGATTTTATAGGGTACTTCGTTCCTCCTGAAAGCATCCTGCTTTTAGCACCTTGGGCTTTGGCTGCGCAGCAACTTGGGGCTGCTCAGGGTGCAGAGTTGCCACGACTTGCCTGGCTTCAGGTTTTGTTCAGGTTTCAGGGTTTAGGGTTTAGGTTTTAGGTTTTAGGGTTCAGGGTTTGAGAATTTCGATGGATGGAGACATCTACCCAAAAATCGCCAAGTGTAAGCTTTTGGAGAAGCCTCAGGGCCCTGCTTCAGAGAAGAACCAGCCGCCCAATTCAAAGTTCAGGCTTCGAATTCTGTTGCATGATTGGATGTGTGTGCCCAGGCTTTGGGGCAACACAAACTTCTCCCGCTGGCTTCCGGCCATGGCATTATCGCATTCCATGCTGGTGATTGCTGCCTCTTGCAAGCATGTGAGCTTCCGGCAGTTCGGGTCACTACACGATTTTGGAATTCTGGGTCTGCTCTTATTGCGAATCACAGCTGAACCCGTGTCTATCAACCCCGTATCAACCTTCACGGCAAGGACACTGCGCACCATTAAGTGGGGAAACGTACTTTCGACTCTCCAAGACGGAAAAAGGCCCAGGCTCTGTTGTGCCCCCCGCTTGTGTTGTCTTACAGCTTGGCCTGGCTCGGGGGTTAGCTTGGCTGGGGGGTGGCAGTTGTTTTTTTTGGTACTGGCCAGGAATGGCTCCCTTTGTTTCTGCTAAGTACGGCTTTGCAGAACACATTCGATGACGCGGAGCTGGGAGCTTCAAGTAGACGAAAGGGCACAGTGACTTAAGAACTTTTCGGAGCTCTCCTTCTTGTATGAGTATCGTCGAGTACTAGGTGCGGCTCGGGTTGGCTCCTTTTTTTTTCTTCGGTGCGGCCACGCTTTGAAGCACATCATGCCATCAAAAGTAGTTGCTTAAAGCCCATATAGGGGTTTCCCAAAACTGGGGTACCCCCGTTAACGCCCCAAATAGAAGAGAATCCCCCTTAACAGGACCCCCAAGAAGGGTAACCCCTAATTTCGAAAACCTCCATATGAGCACTCGGTTATGCCGTGTAGCTCACTTTGAACGACACCATGTCGTCAAGAGGGATTGCTAGAAAACCAATATGAGTTTTTTCTAACCCCGTCATGCATTATGGTTTGCTCCAACCCCCGTCATGCGAGCATTGTGTTTGCTGATAGGGGCCCCGGGTGGGGGGCTGCCCCCCGCAACCCACCCGCTTGTTTTGACCTGCGCAAGCTTGTTTTGAAGAACATCATGCCGTCAAGAGATTTGCCTCAAAACGCGTATGAGTTTGATACAACCCCCATGACATGAGCATTGTGCTTGCAAATGTCGGAGGGGGAGGGGGGGGGGCTGCACCTCCCACTTCTTGTAATCCGCGCAAGATGGCTTTGATCTGCTTGAAAGCCAACATGTTTTTTGAACACTCTCTGCCGCGGAGAGATGCCAGTAGTTGCGTAGAGATGCCATGAGGTTGTGATGTTCCCTTGATAATAAGAGTCCTGAATAGGTATAACAGTACCCCCTCTTGTAATCCCTCTAAGGGACTCTTAGTATATGGGGGAACATCCCAGGCCAGAGGCTCCAAGAGGCTCCAAGGAAGTTTTAGAGAATCCACAGGTCGCCTGGCACGCTTGGCGGCGATTAGAGAGGCTTCAGCTGCCAGGTGGGGCTTGGGCAGCTTAAAGGCGGCCTAGGGTTTAGGGCTTAGGGTTTAGGGTTTACGGTTTAGGGTTTAGGGAAACTCGGGGTGTTCGAGTTCTTAAAAGCCTAAAATATGTCTGATGGCTTCGGCTGTTTGTCAACATGTTTCGTGTTGTCGTGACAGAGCGGCAGGTGCTCGGCCGGTGTCGCTGCTGCGCGACAAGCGGCGGTGGAGAACACCTCCCCTTGCATGGCCCGGGTTCCCGGTGGGGATCTTCAGTTCAGGCGCATGAGGGCATGAAACGTTCCGAGAAGCAGTCCGTGGTTACATGCTACTTGAGAGGTTCTGTCTTGTGTGTGCGCTTAGCCCAAGGCTGTCTGAATACTACGAGCCCTACATCCTGGAATCTTCATGTTGAGGGCTGTAGAGTCTGATGGAGTGAGCGGCATGCGTGGAAGTGTCCAGAGGCAAAAGCCATACACCCTTTGCAACTGCCTTGACCTGTTTAGGCCTTCAGGGGATCTTTAGATCCAGCATAAACACGGGGTAGGGTTTACGGTTTAGGGGTGCTTACTTACGGGGTTTCCGAAGCTTTGGAAGTAGCAGATCCGAGCAACAAGGGTCGTGAAGGATCGTCACGGCTTGTTTGTCTTTGTTGTGTCGCGACAAGCCTGAGCCACGACCTGCCAAACTCGGGGCGTTCATCCTTAAGCAGTTTTGTTGCCCGTTGGAGAGCAATGGCTTGGGAGTTCAGGGTCTGAAGATGCCAAAGAAGACAAAGGCTCCGACTCCTGTGGGCCTGCCTTCTGCTCACCAATGTGATGTGGACGTCGCCCGCATTTTCCTTGAGACATACTTGGGCTCAGAAGGGTTTAGGGTCCTTTGGGTGGGGGCTTGGGAGTTCAGGCTTGGGGGACTAGGGTTCAGGGTTTCAGGGTTAGGGCCATAGGTTGCAGAGTTTGGGCCAAGGGGGGTTTCTTCGGGGTCGTGGCGAAGGTGCTCAGGCTTTCGATGGGCCAGCGGGAGCGACTTCCGACTTCCGACAATATGGACGAGAGCGAAAGCAAGCATGGTTCCAAGCAAGCCCTGGGGATGTTTTATATTCTCCCTTATTGGGTTTAAGAGGATCATCTTCAGGGGTATTTTCAGAGGGTTTTATGGGGGCCATCCTCAGTTTGAAAGTGCAGCTTTCGTTGAGGCGCCCGCCCAAGATGCAGAAGCAACATTCCGATCCTCCTCCCATACCTCCTCGTGCCCCACCCTGCAGCCCTCAGGACCTACTGCTCATGTAGCAAAAACTTGTCCCAATCCTGAAGGCATGTGGGATGCCTCTTCTACCACTACCAGAGGAGGGTTAGCCCGCTCCGTGGCGGCAGATTGCTGGTCGAGTGCTCTTGACGTTTCTCACGAGGGCTCAGTTTAGTTTTTTGCGGACTCTTGACTTAAAGCTTGGCGTTTGTTAAACCTCGAACTGCATACAACCGAAAGCCTTGCAGCTTAGTCTGCCAGAACGCACATCCTTAGAAGCCACGTCCGGCGTGTCATGCCCAACAGTAGCTTTCCAAAAGTTCCGCCCCTTCACGGACGTGGAAAATCTGGAGCCACCCCTCCCCTCACGATCTCCCTCTCCCCCTCGCCACGTTGATTGAATTGTTTTTTACATTGTTTGAACTGTAGTCAAACTTTATTGAGAGTTAAATTTACCTGGGCCTTTAGCTATTAAATAGATGTATTTGAATTCTTCACATGGGCTCTTGCGTCAGTTTGACTGCCAAACACATGAAGCAGTTTTTTTGAATTGATTTTCAGCTTTATGGCTCAAGTCGGCCGATTGTCGATTGTTAATCGAACTTTTTTTAGCATTCAATCAAACTTGCGTCAAATCTCAAGTAGCTGAACTGAACTTGTTGATTCTGCTTTCATGCTCATTGAACTTTAGTGAAAGTTAAATGCACTGCAACTTGTATTTCTGGAGTTGAATTGTAACTAGAGTGAACTGAACCTTGTAAACTTACTCTTAGTTGAATTTCCTTGAATGATTAGCATTTTGACATGCATGAACTTTTTGCTGGAACCCAATTGAAAAGGGTCTTTGTTTCAGTGCGTTTGCTTGCATACCACATGCTCTTTAATGTTTGCTTGACTTTGTTTAAAGATCTGGGTGTTCATTCCACATGCGTATTGGATGGTAGAGCTGTTTTAGTTTTTTGCGGTTATTTACTTCATCTACTTAGCTACGATAAGGCTTACTTGAACCTTAGTTGACTTTCCTGGTTAATTCTGTCGTTGAATTCAAAGAGAGTGTGGTGGTGGGGGATGGAGAAGGTTTCAGGTGGTGGTGTGGGGAAAGCGATGTTGGGGGGGTGAGAGAAGGCTGAGGACGTCCCTCCTCTCCTTTTTCAAAGGCGTGACAATATAGAACTCACTCTGTTCTTTCGGTCGTGACCTGTGAGCCGCGCCACCCAGCCTTCGGATTTCTTGTAGCGCCGCAAGTAGTTTGTGACCCTGAACAGGAAGCCCCGGTCTAAAAGTCAGATGGCAACCGATCTTTCATCCGGCAGCTACAGAGATTCAGTGTCAACCAATCAACTCTTTGTAACCCAAATGGCCAAAGCCACGTTGAGCCATTGCTTACTTCACTGAGCACCCCCAGAAACCATGCAAGAGTCCAAGAGCTCCAGAATGCACTGCGCGCAACGCGCAAGCGCAAGGCGCAGCCTGAGATGCTTCAGGGGCTGGCTCTTGACTGTGGGCTTCAGTGTGCCTTGGCCCGATGGCCTTTTGTTCGGAGTTTGCGCAGCCGAGGCGTAGAATCCTTGAATCAAGGTATGAAGACTCGGACCCCTAAGGTCGTAGCCCTAAAGATTTCCCTTGACATACGCCTAACATGGCTCTTATACTACCTTAGGGATCTTTAACAAGGGTCCCCAAGCCCAAGGGTACCACCTTAGAGGTCCAAGGTAGAGTCCCATGATTGAAAAGGCTGCATCGTCACATGTCGAGGTTTGATTCCACCAATGCATACACAAGTACTATCTCCGAGAAGAGCCTTGCCCCCATACAACCCGAATCAAACCGGGAGCCCCTAAACCCTAAACCCTGAACCCTGAACCCTAAACCCTCAACCCTAAACCCTAATTACACCCTAAACCCTAAAGCCTAAACCTCGGCCCAGATGGGCTCCATCAGCCTTGCCTTGGAATACGTCTACTCAGAGCCGCGCCTAAATCCCATGGACAAGTTTTTATTTTTTTTTTTGCGGGGGCGGGGGGGGAGGGGGGGGGGAATATAGGGGTCGGCGTATGTGCAACAAGTATTCCCTTCTGGTCCCTATATACTTATACCATACCCCTATATTAATGAGTTCTTTTGTTCGAGGGATTGCATCATGGTCATGGCTTTCTCGGGTTCGGCGTAGGTTCCTTGATGTTTCGGTCTGCTGTGCCAAAGTGCATCTACACCGCCTCTGATTCCGAGACTTTGTCCTGGCTGTGTAGCATCCTTCCGCCCATCGACCCCCCCCTAAAATTCCCTTGAGCGAGGAGTGGATCTTCCTTTGTCGAGGCGTCCGCATCTCCCACTTCCTCTACACTCAGTGCCCGGCTTACCGAGGGCTTCTTCGGGTTTCAATAAGGAACCCCCTAGTTTCGGAGATTGCTGTAAAGGAAAAAGGTGGAGCCGAGAACAAAATGATGCGCTCGTAAGACACCCCCAGCCTTCGGTCTTTTTGGTCCCTTGCAAGTGCCTGCGCCCCACAGCCCTAGTCCCCGAAGCAGTATACCAAGTCCCCAAATATTTGTGTGTGTATATATATGTACGGGAAAGGAGGGTTTCGGTTGAAAATACAGAGGAAAAGAGGTTTGTCTTGTTAACATATAGAGGAAGTAGAGGTTTGGAAAGATAGACATACAGAAGGAAAGAAGGAAAGAAGGAAAGAAGGAAAGAAGGAAAGAAGGAAAGAAGGAAAGAAGGAAAGAAGGAAAGAAGGAAAGAAGGAAAGAAGGAAAGAAGGAAAGAAGGAAAGAAGGAAAGAAGGAAAGAAGGAAAGAAGGAAAGAAGGAAAGAAGGAAAGAAGGAAAGAAGGAAAGAAGGAAAGAAGGAAAGAAGGTAAGAAGGTAAGAAGGTAAGAAGGTAAGAAGGTAAGAAGGTAAGAAGGTAAGAAGGTAAGAAGGTAAGAAGGTAAGAAGGTAAGAAGGTAAGAAGGTAAGAAGGTAAGAAGGTAAGAAGGTAAGAAGGCAAGAAGGAAGCAAGGAAGCAAGGAAGCAAAGGAAAGGAAAGAAAAGGAAAGGAAAGGAAAGGAAAGGAAAGGAAGCAACAAAGAAAGAAAGAAGGTAAGAAAGAAAGACGAGGAGGGCTGCCCCTCCCTCCCCCCACAGCGGTTCTTTATCTCTCTCACAAATATCATGCCTTTGTGTCCCAGCAAGAAAACCTCTATCTACTGCCTCTCTAGCAAAAAAGCAAGGAACCGCACACCTCTCTTGCCTCGTAAAACAGAAGCCGCGAAGTACCGCCCGAAAACCAAAGACCAGAACAAATTCCAGCACTCCTGGAACTCGCTTTGCCATTTCTCGGAGAGTCCCGAAAATATCCCCTTTGGTTGGTGCTTCTGTTTTCTTGTTGCTTCTTCTGGTTTTGGATACCTGCCTCCATTCGAGAGCTTTAGGAAATGGCCGCGAGCAAAACGGGAACAAAGTTGAACAACACACAGGACGCGCACGCCCACGGCCCCCTTGTTTTTGTTTGCCCCTTTCTTGTAGGACAACCTCTATTTAATTCATTTTCTCTATTTTATCATAGGGGAAATCTCTATTTCCTCACTATTTTTCTCCAAGAGGCTCTAGTTCCTCTGCAATCGGAAACCCTAGACAACAAACAGGCACAAAAACGTAGAACAAGTCCAAAGAAATGTTTCGCCCATAAACAGAGGCCATCATTTCTTGTTTTTTTCTCCTCAAACAGTTCGGACGCGTTAAGAATCAGAACTTGGGATGTTCCCCCTGATAGTAAACAGTTCTATAATCCCTATGAAGGAGCTGCTAGTATGAGGGGGGAGCATCCCAAACGAGAGCCCTCGACCAGCTTTGCCCGAGCTGGAGGATCGCCTACGTGGTGGACGACGAGCGGAAGACGAGCTGAGTTGGGCTGCAGACGAACTGGAGGTTTCCGAAAACAGGGGGTACCCCCTTTTTGGGGGTTCCTATAATAAGGATTTTTGTATTTGGGAGGTATATTAGAGTTCCCCCTATTTTGGGAAACGGCCAACTGCAGACGGAACTCCATTTGAAGGAGGGTGAGCTAGCTTGTGGCTTATCGCATCAAGATGTGGTATCAAAAAGACACCACAGTGGTCGTCAGCAAATGCTGGCAACTGCTTGCGCAGAGGCCCAATTCTGCAACTGAGGATCCCACACAAAAATGGGAAGAGGAAGGCCAAAATGAACATGAAAAAGGGTTTAGGTGGGTTCACTTGCGAGGCCTGAAGCCCCAAACGCGATAGCAAGCCTCAATGCCGAACGAGCCCTACAACCGGGAACCCAACTCAGCCGTTCCTGCTAAAGGCACATTGAGGGCTCAGGACAGCAACATTCAGGATGAGCTGGGTTGTTTGGCGTTCAAGCATGTGTCCGAGAATGAGTGCATAAGCGCAAGTGGGCTTCAATGGTGCACAGCGGCTCCCCCAACAGGAGAGGAACCGTAACTTCTCAGCAGACAGCCTCGCCCTTTGAATTTCGAGGGCCGCCGCGGAAGAAGTGCGACCATGTCCAGCGATTTGATCGGAGAAATGGACCGCAGTGTTTGAGTTTGACACGAAAGCATGGGCCCATTTCGAAGCTCAAGTTGGATTGACGCAATGGCGTTGGGCGTTGGGGTTTGCGGGCTGATTGACTTGGGACAAGCTGACACACTGCAAAGATGTCGAAGTCCTAATTTGGGGATTTTTGCATCGACTCAAAAAAGCATGGTTGCTAGCATCGAGTCGATGCCTCCCCCGCCCCAGCGTCCCCCCGCCGCTTCCACCCTGGCCCCTTTGCAACTCGCAGGGCAACACCCGCCTCCCCTCCTTCCCCCCCCAAGCATTTCATGTACCGGCAAACATGTTGTTAAAAAGGCAAAGAGGGTAGAATGTCCTTTCTTGATGCATGTCCACTCATAGGCCGGATTCCAATACCACCGTATGGTGCAAGCAGCAACGCAGTGTGCAGGATCTCCCTGACGCCATGATGCCCGAGGAGGTACAAGCTTTGCTGTCGTCGGTTGATACACCCGCAACCGAAAGTCTTACGACGCCAGCAGGCCTAACTTTGCTAAGCCCCTCAAAGCCCACGTTGCCCAAGAGGCAAGTGGTTATCAGGTGCAGGAGATTCAGCACTTTTCCGACACTAGTTTGGTGGTTACTAGATCCAATACATGAACGGAAACTGATCCCATGTCCTCGCGGCTAGTCTACGCCCTCTTCTCGGGCGATTTGTTTGCTTTAGGCGTCAGGTGTTGGGTAAGGATTTGTTGCGGGGGTGGGGACTCATGCATGGACCATCGGGCAGCATCGGACATGAAGGAGGTGTATGAGAAGGAGGCCATCATACCAGACATCCGCACGTTCCAGGGCAGGGCGGAGGTGTTGGCCGGAGTTTTTCGGCCCTATAGGCCCTAAACCGCAGGTCGCCACGAAGTTGGGCTTGATCGACGTCCGGGATAGGTGCGCTCTCATTCACTAAGGGCCAACGGGGCAGTTAACTTACAAGATCTGAGGATTTTGAGGTGCATAGGTCAGGAGGGTTGAGGCCGGGTACGTGCCCGTCGCCAAATGTTCAAGAGGCTTTGCCAAGTCGGGCTTGGCTCCAGGCATCGGGGTCTCGGGGTCCTTTCGGGTCCTAGTTTTCATACTCATACTGCTGCTCTGGTCGGGGAGGTGAGCGGGTCTACATACATCAAGGGAACCAGGCGGCGCCTAGGCTAGGCCTCAACAAGCTGGGACTTCAATACAACCCAAGGAGCCTGAATCTCCTTTAGTCGTGCGAGTGTTCTGATCGTCTGGCTCGCATTTTGGCTCATTTAGAACAGTTCACATTGCGGCATCGGGTCATACAGGAAGAGTGTCATATGATGGTTGATGAGTAACATGCCTGCACATGTTATGGTAAGACACTAGCATGCTCCTTACCAACATGCTCTCTCAAGAGACAGTTCATACATGAATCTTATTCATGACACAAAAATTTCTCAGGCAACACGTTAGCTCCTGCTTTCTTTGTCGCTTTTCCCCCAAAGGAACTCAGAAGCGTGACAAAACCCCATCAGTCCGAAGCCCGAAAGCGCCAGGCCTTGGCTGGTACAGCCAGCACAAGCGACCTCAGGCGAGGACGCGTAGCGACAAGGGTTGCTCTGGCTGGGGGGAGGCTGCCAGTCCAGAAATTCGGACTTGCGGGTCCGGGGGGGCCTTTGGGGTTTTGAGCGTTGGGCCTCAGGGGTTTCACCTTGGAAGCTTCGTAGGGTCTTTCTTTGGAGTGGCCATTTGCGGTCGCCCCTGTTCTTGTCGGGATTTGGGCCTGAACCCTGCAACCCCAAACCCGCTGGGGGTTCCCCATGCCGATCAGGCGATGGCCTCTACGAAGGCACCTTTGCTTCCGGTACTATAGGGGTCGGAATAATTACAAATAGGATTCCCTTCTGGTCCCTATCTAACTATACTATAATACCCCCCCCCCCCCCAAATCCCTATTCTAATTGCTAAGGCCCCTATATTACATGTTGTGGAAGGGCTTTCGAGTTGATTTGGATCTTAGGGTTGCCATGCAGGGAGTACTTCACAGGTTTAGCACTCAGAAGCCGGGGTTTGAGTCGGGTTTGAGGTGGGCCAGGGCCGCCTTAAGGGCTGTTACTTGTTACGAGCTCGGGCATGCAGGCAGGCGGGGGGTGTTACAACTGAAGCAGTCTAGCTTCGAACCCAAAGTGTTTTCAGCCTCCGCAAATGCACCTCAAAGGCCGGGCGCGTTTGACGGACAGTCTGAATTCGTGAAGCACCCGTTCCGCTAGAACCTCACCGTTCACCACCCGGGAAACACCATAAGCGTAAGTTTAGTCCGAGGAAGAGGCCAGAGAGCCAAGACAGCCTGTAGTTATGAGTTACTTAAGTACCCTAAACCCGAAACCTTATAAACCCTAAACCCTCAACCCTAGTTCCAGGTCTAGATTGGCTGGCGCGAGAGCTTCGGCGGAAGCGGTGATGGAGGCCCCTAAGATGCAGTCACAAGCCTAAACCCTAAAGCCATCATGTGCCAGGTGGTCTCGCCTTGCTCACCAGCTGCTTCGACCTCGCCTACACTTGTACAGAGCGTTGTCGGAGCACGGCACGAGCATCCCTTGAGGATTATGTGGAGATGCTTTGCAGATTTCAGCTCGACAGCTGGTACGAAGGTATGTGCCGAAGGGACAAGCGACCAAGCATCCCTCGGCTAGCAGCCTGAAGCCCCGAGTGTACAGAAGGGACACTGGCTGGCCTTTCATTGGCACGTCTTGCGGACAACGATCCTCGACTCTGGATACTAGCAGCACCTGTCGAAATTGACGTGCCAATGAATGGCATACGCAAAGGATGAAGCCACACTCGACATATCGAAATTGCTTGTTGGTTCTCCCCTGTCCCTGCTGGCACGGCCTGTGAGAACGTTTCCGTTTTTGATCCCAGCCGGGTCATTGAGCAGAATGGTGGCTAAGACTGTCTTTGCACTGGTTCTGTTTTGGAATTTTGTTGACGTCTCAACTCAAGGGCCTGGTTGAGAAGGCGGCTCCATAAGTTCAAGCTGCTCCCATGTTCCCTGTGCATGCAGTCGCGGGGATTAGAGACAGGAAGAATGAGCAGAGCCACAATAAGCTAATGGCCAGTCAAATTGCCGTGGGGTTCGGAAAGCAGGGGTCAGGGTTCGGGTCAGACTTTTGTACTCTAAAGACTTTGCCCTTGCATTCCCGAATCCGAACTCCACGGGCAGACTCGCTAGTCTTTGCACGGGATCCTGAAGCCCGAGAAGTGCGCCATACAGCAGGATCCCGCTGGCAGATGCACACGCAACTCGCAGAACCAAAGTGCTCGTAGCGTCCAGGTCCAGTAAAAGTTCAGAAGGACGAAGCAGCAGCAGGAACAACAAACGAGTGGTAGTAGCAGGTGCAGGAGCGGTAGGAGCAGGGGCGCAGGGGTGTAGCCGTAGAAATAGATAGCAGGGTGGTAGTGGTGCTGGTGGCGGTGGCAGTAGCAGCAGCAGTAAAGTAGTAGTTATCGTTGTAGTCGTAGTCATTGTCGCCATCGCACTAACAAGCATCGCGGTAGGAGGAAGAGCATCAGAAGCCGCAGCAGCCGCAGCAATAGCATCATGACATCATTGGTGCTGGCAACAACATTGGACATAGTTCATCTAGTCGTAATCTACCGGAAGAGTTCCAAGAGCAATACTCGCGCCAACACGGCAGGTACGGTACTGGTCGGTTGCGGAGTTCTTGTCATGGTCGTCGTCGCTCACGTCATGTTGGTGATACTGATACTTGGGGGGCGGGAGGACGAAGCAAGGGCGCGATCGAACAGTCTTTTACAAACTAGGCTGGTGCCTTAGAGATCTCGGGCGTGCGGTGTTAGAATTCGGGGCCGCCAGCATCAAACTCAGAAACATTAAACCCCTGTCTCGCAGCAACAAGCCTCTAAGAACATTGAAGATACCCCTAAACCCTAAACCTAAACCCTGTTTCTGTGTTTTAGAGTGCCAACCTAGTTACTCAGGACCATTGTGGCGCGGCGTATGTCCGTGTACTGGGACCTGGGCAAGGTTCGATCCGCCGTCGAACCCTGCGCCCGAACCCTTCAATTAAAACTGCATCTGAAGCCCATCTTGCAGGGGTTTACAGTAGGGGTTAGGGTTTGGGGTTTAGGGTTTAGGGTTTAGGGTTGAGGGTTTAGGGTTTAGGGTTTAAGGGTCCATGCCTTCATTGACGAGCCTGGGAGATTTCGAGCCTTGAAAGTCTTCGGACCGTACTTAGGCCCCCCCCCCGCCGATTCCCTCACACCTCTCGCAGCCTCGACAACCTTCAGCACTGAAACCCCTAAACCCTAAACCCTAAACCCTAAACCCTAAACCCTAAACCCTAAACCC